TGACCTCTAAAAGTTGGTTTTAAATAAATTCACAAATTTTGGAACAAAAAGTCTATCAAAAACCACTTTTTGAAATTTAAAAAAAAGTTTCACGTATCACACTTTGATAACATTGGGTAAGACTACAATATAAGCCAAAGTGGTTTAAACTTTACATGGGGCCTTTAATCTTATCATGACTAAAGAGATTTTCATTGCATACTATCTTATGATGAATTTGTATTTATTAATTGTTTTAGTTTAAATATTTCCTTTTGAAGAAGCTGCTTTTTGGATTTCCAAGGTACTTTCATATGGCAAACATTAAAATAAAAAGCAAGTACAGTTAAACCAGTATATCCAAACACCTTTCTAATTTGACGTCCTCTTAATATAAACACTTTTCATTCTGTCTCATTTTTCAATCTGCCATAGCTATAGACTTCCATGTAAAAAACCTTAAAATGTGAACACCAGCCAGCCTGGACACTTTTCACCAGTCTGAGTGGTGTTGTTTGGATTTAACAGGTTTTTATACATGCTCAAATTGTACATTTTCCTTGTCTTTATTGTATCTGTAACGATTAATGTTTCTGTGATCAGTGAGGCTTAATCAGTGTCTGGTAAAAGTGGTTTTTAGTCTTTGATGGTTTTTACTTAAAGAGGCAATACGAGATAGAGACAAGCAGGAGATAATTTTTTGACAATTTTACTACTTTGCACATAGATATCTAATTCCAATAACTGACATCTTTCATCTTAAATTACAACTTCCATATTTGATAACAAATCACTATCTAAAAATATCAATGAGTAAAATCACCCCCTCTTCCAAATGTACTCAATAGTTACATTTGTAGGCATTCATCGATATTAAAGTGATCTCATCCCTGGCTAAATCATTTTTTCAATCATTATTCAGGTCTTGCATTTTTATGTATTCTAAATGGTTAGGTACCCTAATTACGATAAGTTCATCATTGTAAGTCTTTTTAACTGGTGTGACATCGCATTGAAAACACGATATGTAACCTTTTCAGATGTTCAATTGATAGACTATTTGAACATGATCAGCAAAAATATAACAAATAATACATAATGTTAAAAAAAATATCAAAGCAATGTTAAACCTAATGATTGGCAAAGTTACCCTTTTCTTTATAACATAATCACAAATTGATGAAATATAAATTGTTTGATGCAGACAGACAGGTAGGTTCAAATTTGTTTCACCTTTAATTAAATAGCAGCTTTTGCTCACATAAATACTCTCTGTCATACATAATATAAAGCATTTTAAATTTAGATTTGAACCTCTTGAAAATACAATAGGGCCTTTGATAATATGACTTATAATGGAATTCCAAAAATATTTGACATTATTTTCCAAAAGTCTTTGATTGATACTTCGTTATGAATGCATACAATGACTACCATGGCGGCCATATCTTTCTATGAAAAGAACCAATGGTTTCAAAAATAACAAAACAGTAGATTCCTTTCACTTATGAAAGTACTTTTAGCAACTGCCTCTTAAAGCTTAAATCAATTAAAAGTGCAGTGCTTTATAACAAACAAAGTTGAATGTAACATTGTTAGTTTTTCTTGCTTTTTCCAAAAGTTGGCAACTCTGAATTGTTTATATAATTACATTATCTTCATCTGCAGTTAACTCTTCTGGCAATTCCCAGCATGTCTATCTGTTTATTCTAATGGAATAGCTTCACAAATATTTCAGACTTATCTGATCTTCAATCTGTTATTTTGATCTACAGTACTATGTGATATGTTGTTAAGTGATCTAGTATGTGATATGTTGTTAAGTGATCTACAACATGATATGTTGTTAAGTGATCTAGTATGTGATATGTTGTTAAGTGATCTAGCATGTGATATGTTGTTGAGTGATCTAGTATGTGATATGTTGTTAAGTGATCTAGTATGTGATATGTTGTTAAGTGATCTACTACATGATATGTTGTTGAGTGATCTAGCATGTGATATGTTGTTAAGTGATCTAGCATGTGATATGTTGTTAAGTGATCTAGTATGTGATATGTTGTTAAGTGATCTACTACATGATATATTGTTGAGTGATCTACTACATGATATGTTGTTAAGTGATCTAGTATGTGATATGTTGTTAAGTGATCTATGAAGTGATATGTTGTTAAGTGATCTACTACATGATATGTTGTGAAGTGATCTAGTATGTGGTGTTGTTAAGTGATCTACTATGTGATGTGTTGTTAAGTGATCTATGAAGTGATATGTTGTGAAGTGATCTACTACATGATATGTTGTGAAGTGATCTAGTATGTGGTGTTGTTAAGTGATATAGTATGTGATATGTTGTTAAGTGATATAGTATGTGATATGTTGTTAAGTGATATAGTATGTGATATGTTGTTAAGTGATCTACTATGTGATGTGTTGTTAAGTGATCTACTAAGTGAAATGTTGTTAAGTGATCTACTATGTGATGTGTAATCCATTTAAACATAGAAAAATGCCCCTTTTCCACTGGCGGATCTGGGGGGGGGCAGGGGCCCAGGCCCCCCTTGGGTGGGCCCAGAAAAAAAATTACGGCCAAAAAAATATTTTGAGCAAAAGAAGGCCTTGATGCCGCAAAAAGAATGGGCCTTCTAATGCCTTATTTTTTAATTTCAGGGCAAATTTTGAAGAAAATGGGCCTCAAAATTTCAAAATTTGGGTCCACTTTTTTACGGAAGTTTTTTTCTCAGACCAGAAGTTCGGCCCCCCTCCTTGTTGGTCCCCAGATCCGCCCCTGCTTTCATCATAACATATAAATAAAAATAAATAGTTGGAAATTATAAAAATAACCTATAAATAATATTATTTTGGGCAAGTACTGTATGGTACATGAATGAATGATGTATGGGTTTGAAATGCCTCCTCGAGCTACCCTTGGATAGAGCTCAACCTTGCCTACACTCTTTAAATTCAAGATCAGAATATAATCAGAATTTGCATCAGAGTATCACTTAACACTACACTATCTGCCCATAAATACATATAAATAGTCTCCATTCATTTCTACAACAAATACACTTGAAATGCCATTAAACTGCCTTTAAGATTATTAAAGGGGAAAACCGGGTATAAAAGGAAGATGGAACAGCCAAGAACTGTCAATTATGTCTGTTGAAAATGTTTGAATCACTGAAACCAGTAAATTTATTTTGATTTTGCCAATATCATTAATTCTAGGAAGATTCAAAGGCCCAAATTTGCTACAGTCATGTATGAAACCATAATGAATACAAATATGAAATCATATTTAAGTAGTATGTAGTATATTTCAAGCAAACTTGAAAAGAAATATTTAAAGGTCTCATTAAATATTAGCAGTTGGATGTGGATTTAATTTCAAATTGACCAATAGTCTCCAATGCTCTCAGGTCAGAGGTTAAAACATGTAAACAAAGCAGCAATATGCCTTGTGCTTGTGTTTATAAATACCCCACTACTGCTAAGCCACATCCTCTGCTGACAGCTGATTGGCTGTTTGCTATCTAGAAGGCATTTCACATGTTACATAAGACACCCGGGTGTATCAATTAACTGAAGTTTTCCTCTTTAAGATCTTTCCAGTTGAATCACAACCGTAGAATCATTTTCAAAGTAAGAGGGTGGTGTGGCAAGTAACAGGGTACCTCTGTACAGATGCTATAAAGCATTATGGGTCAAAGTTTAATCAGAGCTGAGTGAATGCCAGTCACCTGTTTATTTTCTATCACCTCAGTGTATCTAAATGTTGCACCATCAGCCTACTGGGATAGCATTTCAAAGATAACTCTTTTCAAACAATCACCATGACGATGATGTAAGTGTATACAGTGCAAATGTACAGTGAAACCTGGAATAATAAACATCTCATGATGGGTCAGAAAACAAACTCCCATAAACCATATATTACTCACAGTAATTTCACCAAATAATTGAAAATAAAATGAAGTATGACGTAAACATTATATATCTATTGCAACAGAATTTGTCATAAGACGATTAAACTAATGATACTGGACTTCTTCAAAGACCATTTTTCAATGTAACACAGATTAATATAGTTTTTAAATCAAATCAAATTGAACAAACAATAGAATATAAATATTAGACAGCAAATACTATAACCAATAATAGGTGGGTCATTTGGTTCAATTGGATTTTAGGCAGACATTATTCAGAAACAGAAACTGGTCCAAAGGTCTTCTAATCTACTCAGAGACTGGTCCAAAGGTCTTCTAATCTACTCATCTTGAGATTTAAGGTTTACATTATCTTGGTTCTACATTCAACATTCCTCTTTACTTCTAAGAATGTTAATTTTAGATCTTGGATTTGTTTCAATAATCATGCTGCGAGACTTAGAACTTCCTGAATCCATTGTTGTAATAATGAGTTTTTTCTTACCTCATTTATCTTATCTCCATAAAAAATATGTTATAACGAACTTTCTAATTAATTAATATATATAAATAATATAATATTTCCTCATTTCTTGAATCACGACTCCATTTCTTAACGCATCTCTGAATCATTTCTTCACTTGAACTCATTTTCCCTTGTGACTTTCATTTGATCATTACAACCTTATAACAAGCTATTCACATGCAAAATGTCACTACCTGCCATTTGTTATGGATGCCAAACCCAGAATTAAAACTGTTGGATGTTCAACACTGTCCACAAAAAAAGTTGGAGACTATAACAATACGTTACCAGGGCTCTCACCAGGAAATATTTAGGGTGTGGTGCTAACATCTTCAGAATAACCGTTCAATCGTGATAAATCATATTTATGTTATGTTTTATCCTTTTTACATGCTATTATTGTATATTTAGTCAAGTTTAGACTGGAAACAGTCATGATTTGCCAATAGGGTGTGGAGGGAGCTAAATAGAGTATGGTGCTTCGCCACAGTCTAAAAGCCTGGCGAGAGCCCTGGTCACCACTTGTGGTGTCATATTAATGGAAATTCAATTTAAATTATGTTTACCTTTTAAGCGCCATCTATGTTATATCAATGATGTCTGCATCATCTGGTAGTTCAGGGTGGTCATCTTCATATTTCTGCATTATAGCTGCGATCATTGCACATCTTGAGGCGCCACAGTCACATGGTATCTGATGAGCACCTTCGTCTTCTTCGTCATCCTGTAATCATATTAAGTTGTTAGGTTTATGAGAAAAACATTGCTCAATGTGCAAGAGATGAAACGGAGCACAAAACGTAGGGAATACATAAAAATGGAGTAAAAATCTATGGGAAAGTGGAGGATTTCAAGAGGGAGCGTAGGCTACCTCAGGTTTTATACATGATTAAATTCATGATAGTCTAGCATGCATCAAGTGTCTCCATTTAATTTCCCTTATATTTACCAAGTTGCACAATAAATTAAAGAGATATGTTCAAAGTTTTCATCCACAACTACCTGTTGAATATTCAAATCCTCAATTCGTTTGTTGATATATCTATGATATATTACAAAGTGCATATATCATAATCAGGTTATCAAAACATTATAATGGATAAGAATCTACCCCAATAATGGACAAATTGGAATGTTACCTATTTCATAGATTGACATTTAATGTAAAATACAGAAAATTCCAACAAACCATCTCACCTCTGGGTCAACCATCTCAATTGATATATTATAATGTCTTTTATTGCCGTTGGATTGCTTCATCTCTACACGGCACCCAATCAGTTCATTTTCACTGACATCTATTGAGCGAGGTAAAAAAAATATTGTCTGCTTCCAGTGTGTAGGCTCTGACTCAGGCCCAGTGCTTAGGATGACATCTTTTGAGCCTCCTGTGAACTTCACATCAAACCAGCAAGAGAAACCATGCAGTTTTCCAGTCTGTTCTATATCAAATGTACATTTTTCTTGCACCTCTTCAACATCTTGTAATGTAACAGTGCTCAGATCAAATTCAGCCATAACATATTGCTCTGATATGTAAGTCTTTGGGTCATGTGGTATATATTCAATATAAGGCTGAGTGAACATTGATGATTTTAAATCATTTACAAGGGGTGAATAATCAAAGCCATATACATCACTCCAGAATTTGAACTTGTCTTTAAAATGATTGCTAAGGTCTACGGGTGCGATATAGATATATGCGTTACTTGGAGCAACAACGCCATCTTTCTTGAGCCATTTATCCCTGGCGAAGATAACAGAATCGAGCATTGATTCATGAAGAAGATAAAACCCCATCCATTCTGATATGATAATGTCTACTTTGATGTCTCCTGAGAGAGATATGTCCTCAACTCTACCATGGATGACCTCAATGACCTTTGAGAAGCCATTGTGATTGGCCAATTTCTCACACATGTGACTTAATCCACTTGCTTCTACAGCATAAACCTGAAATGTAAAAAGTATGGAATAAGTAAGACATCCAGACCACACAAAAAATTTTGTCAGTTGGATAATGAGACTGTTGACAGGTATTCATTCTTAGTATGAGTCATGTAAATGCTTAATCATAATATGTAAAAAATTGTTAAGATTGACATCCTAATTTATAATCAATCTGTATGTTTTTAACAGGGTGCCAAATTATTTTGATTTTATCTTAATATTTCATCCTTTGGCTAAGTACAAACAGATTGGCAGTGGGGTGCAGTAGCAAGTTGCTCTATTTCCGGGAAGATCACTTTCTGTATACAGAACATTCCATAGGGCCTATGGATTTAATGGCTTGCTGTAAATTGGGAAATGAACCAGGCTAACCTTTTTAGCTCCGGCCTTTGCTGCAAAGAAGGATAATATTCCAGTCCCGGCTCCTACATCCATGACAACCTTATCTTTGAACAGCTCAGGATTGTCATCTATGAAATTCTTGTAAGCTAGGGTACGTGGTTTGTCTTTGAGCATCGTCTCATGTACGGATACATCCTCATAGCTTGTGAAGTATGCATTGTCAGTAGCACTTTCTGCAGGAGTAGAGTTAGAACTGTCTCCTGCAGAAGAATCAGGGAGTCCTTGTGTATCTTCTGTTATCATCTTTGTTTCATCGTTTGTCTGGTTGGTCTCATCCATTCTGTAAAAGGATATTGGATATATTAAAAAAAATTTCACTGTATTTCAATTTTAGCACCAAATTAACTTTTGAAGTAAAATAGCAATAACATGACAATTCTGATATTGTTCTATTTATTGAATGATGGAGACTGATTGTGGCAAGAAGTTACATATCAACTGTGGATTCATGAGCATCTTTTTTTTTTTTTTTTATTAAGATAAATTTATTTCATTACAAGATATAACATTATACATCCCTTCAATCGCCCAATGGCATTATAGAAGGGTACAGTAAGATTATACAAATACAATATGAATAAGGTCAAGGGGGTTAATACTGCACTTGAGGTTGACCATGGGGTGGACCTATCTCTGTGGACAAAATTATTTAAAGTACTGTTAAGGAGGGGAAAGAGCTCATAGGTTTGTTTCAATGAATTCAGCAATTAGGGTTTGGAGTTTTGAATTTAAATCAAGGGAAAAATTTTCAGAACCATGTTTCATTAAGTAAAGCAGATCATTCTGAGTTGAGTGTTCGTCTGAAGAACCAGTTGTATCCATAATATCAGTTTTTAATTTGGTATTACTTTCTTAGATGAGAGGACATTGAAAGAAAACGTATTTTTCAGTCTGAGGAGCTCCACAATTACAATTTGGATTATCATTATGTAAAATTATGTGCATAAAGTTGGGCTTTGAAAAGAAGATCAGCTCTAAATCTGTTAATTTAAGAGAATTTCATGAGATCTTTTCAGATTGAGTTTGGAAGTGCTAATAAAACTTTCTTGATTTTTAAACAAGATCTTTTGGTGTTTTTTAAAGGATTGAAAAGTTTCCATATTACGTAATCTTTTAGGTAATTGTGACCAGTTTGATATTGCAGATGGTACTGATTTTTTTTTTTTTTTATTAAGTTATTCATTTGTACAAAGAATACAATACAAAAATACAGTGTGAGTGGCTGTGCTTTTAGCATTATTAGCCACGTTCTACAATTACAATATACAATGTATTCAATCAATACTATTGATTAAAATAAATGAGATACAATAAGATAAAAATTGTTTTGTGGAGGATTTCAGACATTTACACATTGCTCGAAGAAAATGGCACTGCACTTTAAAACAATCAGATTCTCAGCTCTACTTAATGTTTTATCACCATTGAGGATCAGAGAAAGTTTATCACGTTGTGTCTTATATTTACGGGAGTATTGTATATTCATATTTTTTAGTTGGTTTTCTAATTCAGTCCAGAATGTTAATCTCAAGTTACATCGAAAAAATCACATGGCTGGTTGTTTCACTGTTAATACCACATGAGCAGATTGGGGAATTTACATTGGTAAAGTTATGCGAGTAAAGGTGTGCCTTGAAAATGAAATCACATCGTACTCTGTTAAATATAATTTCTTGATTTCTTGAGATGGACAATTCTGATGAGTTAATAACAGTTTCGTTAAAGATATTGCTTTTAAGGCTTGATTTAAATATGCTTAAGCTAGATGAGTTCATTATATCAGATGAGAGTAGATTCCATTCTGATATTGTTTTTGAGATACAAGATCTAACTGGTTGGATTTAACTGGTAAAATATAGTCAAGTTGGTGTCTTAGTTCATGTGTTTGATTTCTTTTTAGTGGTTCAAATATCTCAGTGACATAAGAAGGCAGCAAGTTGTTGTGAGCTCTATACATAAAGGTAGCTCTATGATATTGACGTCTATTTGAGAGTGTGGGCCAATTTAAAGTATTCAACGCTTTTGTGGCTGATGTTCCATGCATGGCACCTGAACAAATAATTGCAGCTTTATAGTAAAGGCGGTCTAAAAGTTGTAGTTTTGTCAAATTTGCACATCCGTAAAGAATGTCACAATAATCAAAGAGTGGCAAAATAAAAGAATTAAAAATTGTTTCAAGGTGTTTTCCACTTATTTTCTTACTGAAGACTTTTAACGGATTTATGAGTTTATCTATTCTTGCTACAAGTTCAGTAATGTGATAGTCAAAAGTGAGATTTTTGTCCAAAATCAAGCCCAAGTGCTTGTGATTGTTTACTCTTGGTAACTTGTCATTACCAAGGGAAAGATCTGGGGTCAAAATTTCGCGCTTTCTTGGATTAAAAAAAGTCATAGCTTTACTTTTACTAGCTTTGAAGTTTAATTTCCATGTATTTGACCATAAGAGAATTTTATTTAGATCCTCTTGTAATTCATTATTCTTATCAGCTGCTGTTTCAGCTGTGAAGGATTGGTAATGTGACGTGTCGTCTGCATATATAAAACATTTGGTATTTAAGTTATCAGATAAATCATTGATATAAATTAGAAACAGGAGGGAGCCTAATATGGAGCCTTGAGGTACTCCTGCGTTTATATGGTTCATCTCAGATAGTTCACACTCTTGGCCATCCAATACAACTTTCACTTGTCTATTTGATAGGTACGATTTCATTAATTCTATGATGTTATGACCAAAACCATACATTTCCAGTTTTTTTAATAGTAGCCCATGGGCCATTGAATCAAAGGCGGCCGAAATGTCAAGATAAATCCCCCTTACATTGGCCCCATTTTCAATTTCATTAGTTATGACATCAATTATACTTAGAAGCTGTGCCTGGGTGCTGTGACCTGGCAAAAAGCCACTTTGGAGGTTATAAAATAAATTGTTCACAATTAGATGGTCAAAAAGTCTTTTGAAGATTACGCGTTCTGCAGCTTTAGATATACAGCTCAGGAGAGTTATAGGTCTATAATTTTTTACATCTGTTTTGTCTTTACTTTTATGAATTGCTACAACGTGGCCTACCTTCCAAGGTTGGGGGTATTTATTAAGAATGAACATTTTGTTTAATAATTTTGATAATATCGGTGAAAGTGATGGTGTTGCCATTTTAAGCATTCTATTGCTTAACATGTAAGGGCCAGTAGCTTTATTTGTGTGTAACCCAAGTAAAATGCTATAAACCTCTCTATCATTAGTAGAGAGTAGGTCAAAAGATTGATCAGTTCTTGGAATAAAAGTTTCATTTCCTTCTTGATAATTTATATGATATTTGTCAGTGAAATGAGACAGTAGCAAGTTTGCTTTGTCATGGCTATCAGTGTAACTGTTACCCCTAGCATCACAAAGAAGTGGTATTTTACTATTTTTAGATTTTCCCAAAAGCCTACTTACAATTGACCAGTATCCTTTGCTTCCATATCTCTGATTACTTAATTTATAGTACAACCTTGATTCCATTGCCTCTTTGGCCTCACGAATAGCATCATTAACAAGATTACATTGATCAGTATATTTCTTAAAGTATTTGTCATCATGTGTTTTCCTGTACTTACTATGTAATTTATTTTTTTTATTTATCAAGGTTTTGATATCGCTTGTAAACCATGGCTTATCCGTAGGTTTAATTTCAATATCAGAGTTTGGAATAAGATCTGTAAAAATTGCAAGTAACCCTCTCGAAAATTTGCTTACTATGTCATCTAAATCATTACTACTATCTATCAAGTGATCAAAGTCTGCTGCTCTAACTGAATTGTTAATTAGATTTATATCTGCTTGGTCATATTTCCAAATTTTTCTTGAATAAGGACGGTTTTTAAGAGTTTTAAGAAAACACTCCGTGTTTATTGAGCAATGGTCAGTGTTACCAATAGGAGGAGAAACATAAGCATTTGTTATAATATCAGGGCTATTTGAAATGAGAAGATCGATACATGATCTACTAGTATTTGTTATTCGCGTTGGTTCATCTATAAGCTGAAAAAGTCCAAGTTCTTCAATGTGTTCAAATAATTTTTTTCCTGTGAAATTTTCATTGTCTAAAGCCCACCATTGTTTACTCCTTGCATTAAAATCTCCATTAATAAAAATAGCTTCTGGGTTAGAGTCAAGTGCCATATTGCATGAGTTTGAGAACCTAGTGCAGAATTCATTTGCCTCATTTTGAGTTTGCGATGGTGACCTATAATAAATTGCATATAGATATGACTTATAGTTAATGCTCAATTCAATCCATAAGGAGTCACCCTGATCATTCATAAGGTCATTTCTAATTTTAAAAGGGAAATCATCTTTAACATATATCAATAGGCCTCGATTTTTATTCGAGTACACATGACAATGACCATCTATAGAATAATCAGAAGAAACTGTCAAATCAGTTAGATTTCCAACCTCACAAAGTCCAATAATGTCATTTCCATTGATCTGTATTCTATCTTTAAGTGCTTCAAATCTGGCATTTACATTTGCACTTATACTGTTTATATTTGAGAATAAAATCTTTGTGAGCTTAAAATGATTTGTAGGTCCTGGATTCTGATGAACATCATTACTCAGTAAGAGAATAGCTTGAACAGTATTAGGAATATAACATAAAATAGCACAGAATGGAATGAACAATAAAACTATACCAGCAAACATCTTCATTATGTAAAATGTACCAAAATGTTTGTGATTGCTATGAATATAGACAATTGTGCCCATGAATGTTAAACCATGGATGACAACTAAAAATGTACTAATGCATCCAAATAAGATCTTACAAGAATTCAAAGTGATTTGCCTGTCTGAATCTGCTATGTAGAGCTCAAAACCACATATCAATGTAAGGCAAATGTACAATGGAATCCAAGAGAATGAGTTAAAATAGTCGAGTATGCATTTGCTGCCATTTTTGACTTCTCTCGTATTAACTGATATAAAACACTTTCTACTGTTGTGCATTCCAACACTCATCCTCCAGGCAGTGACACTTATGCCCATTTTAATACTACATGTAATTCTTAGATGCAATATAAGAAAAGAAACCGTTCTATTTACAAATAAATTATCTGATGTGTCATGTCTGGTGAACACTTGCTATGTGAAATACTGTTCCCTTGATTAGCTTATTGAATATGTAATAAAAGTAGCTAAATACAGTGATAAGAAAGTAAGGGTTTTCCACCAATTAAGTTGAAAAGTTTCTCCACAAAACAACCTTTATTTTAAAATATTTAGTTAAAATTGATTAAAGTCAAGATATAAAACAAATGTAGAAAAGTACAGTTATAGTATTTGACTTTTACTGTAAGTGTTTGGCTCTGAAAACGGCAAACTCAATGTTCTATCTGTTCAAAGGCAAAAACTTTTGAAAATATGTACAGAGCAACTCATTTCAGGTGAGCAGTGTTTCAGTAAAGTGAAATGCACCCATTAGCGCTACTGATTGGCGCAATGTAAGGTCATGACCTTGGATCTATGCCAAAACAGTGTTTACATTGAGAGTGATATATACCCGCACATAAGTTTCACTGTAACATAAATGTATGGTTTGTTTCCAAGTATATATCTTCTCAGATCCCATATAGAAAAAAGATAAATTCTGCACTTATATAATACTATCGAAGTGTAATTAAAACCATTATAATATCATCATATTGATATATAACTGTTTCTAAAGAGAGGATGAAGTATTTATGAGTTTTTATCACTGTTCAGCAACATAGAAACATTACAGTAGAAGCATTGATAAATCCGATTAGTCAGATACACTGTGTAAGATCTCAATGCAACAACTGGTAGTACTGATGAATTTAAAGAGAGAAAAATTCAGAGAAAAAGTTGCACTAAAATACCAAACACAAATGCACTAAAATACTGAACACAAATGCATTAAAATACTGAACACAACAAATAAGGAACACTTCTGCTATGTGCAAAATCAAAAATTGGAGGTAATTTGTTATTTTGACGAGCAAAGGCATTTTAAGAGTGAAAACATATTACCGAAAGTTGGAAAAAGAGACATGTGTAACTTCAAAATGAGACAGGAAAAAGGTAATTTTTGAAGTTTTATTTTTTTAAAACATTGGTGTTTTGTTTCAGACATTGATGCATTGCCATAATCACTTTCGGAGAGGTCATCAAATTTAGCACACTCCCTTCTAGGTCTGTATCTGGCTTGTTAAAGTATCGTTAGTTAGTCTTCCCTTGGGGGAGCCCTCAGTTATTACATTGGTTTCAGCGGTGGGATCAAAGCATTGGTTGTAGCCTTTGAACCTATGTGTGTGTAGTAAGTCACTGCTAGAAAGGCAAGGCTGACTGTGGGGGCGTAGTCCTTTCAAAGGGGGATATATTAGTAACGACCCTGGATAGCAAGTTGCTACTACAACTCAGCTGTGTTGGCTTAGTCTTGATAGCTCAGTCAGTAGAGCATCAGACTCTGGATTGGAAGGGCCTGGGTTCGATTGCTGTATGGGCATTGAATTTATTACACTCCCTTCCAGGTCTGTATCTGGCTAGCACATGTAACTCAGCTGGACTCTGCTATCTTACTTTCTTCAAAAAATTCTAAAATTCACACGATATTTTTTATTTTCCTGGTGTAAATTTCTGATAACTACCCCGAGACCTTGATCTAACGAGGCAGGGCCACGGGCGGGGCAAATTAGCTGTTGGGGTTCAATTCACTCAATGTATACTACCATCTGAAAGGCTCGGGATTGTCCCATTCACGAGGTAACTCTTATTTTTCTCATTGAACTGCTTGCCTCTCTAAATGTAAATCATACCTTAGATGTAGATCTAGAATATGAAAACTCAAAGTGATGGGCGATAATTTGATGAATTCAAATTGTAGACATAATTATAATCCATATCTAAACACCTATACTGTCAAAAATACATTCCCTTTTAAAATTCATTATAATCAACAAGATACATCACTTTTGACAATTTTGAATCACTAGTCTTCATAAAATCAGACAGAAAGATGTACTCACGTGAAACTTATTTCCGGCTTTAGGTTTCCGGTTTAGCAATGCCACCTACCGAGAACTTTGGGCAAAATGGCTGCGCCCGGAAAATCTATTTCCGGGTTTCCCGATGTTGAAGTTTTGAGGCAAATGGCTCGAGGAGAGCTTGTGGACCTACTTAAGTCGGTTAGTGCATAACTTAAATATAAGAGAAGCATCACCGATTACTTCAATGTATCTCATATCAATGCTTATGTAAAATATTTTGGAAATAAAATTATGAAAATTTTGTTCATTGGAACATCATTGGAATTCATGCAGCAAGTTACAAACAAAAACTTAATCTTTTGTCAATTGTGTTGATTCGAGTTATTTTTTTTTTAGCAAAGACTTGTATGTACATGTATTTATGGAATTTAGATACGGTACATAACAGTGGCGTAGCCAGGATTTGGTGACCGGGGGTTCTATTTTTATGTTATTCACAAATCACCCCCCCCCCCCCTTCATAAGGGTTCCTCAAATAATGCATTATGTACACAATTACACCCCTTCCAAAAGTTTGGCAATCCTAACTAACCCATTGGGTTATGTATTAAAGCACCTTTAAGTTTGAATTCTTATTTGTAAAGAAAAAACTATTTTGGGAGGGGAAATATAATTCATTTTAATACCTTCATTAAGTCATGGGCTCTACAATTGAATTTTATTTAACAAAAATGATGTCTTTATTTACGTTAAGCAAAGTCTGGAAGTAATAGGCTTCATCAAGAAACCTCTTCCATTGAAATAACAAAGGACATAAAAATGATTTTCAAAAATGACCTTCAGCTTTGTAACTTTAATGTTCACAAAATAAACAGGCAACGTGCAAAAAAGTCAGACAACTTATAATTAATTTTCTGCATCAAAATATTTTTCAGTGAATCTTTTAGTGAATACATATCCTGAAATCTGATGTGCCCCGAATCCACCATTATTTCGTCTGATTTCTGGAAGACTCTGGAGCATGATTTGTTTCCAATAAATATCAACTATTTCGCACAATTTTGTTGGAAGCCAGTTCGGATCAAATTCAAGGTTATTGAAATTGGCGCAAACACCCTATACTCCGAAAGATCGTTCTTCTAGGATAACTTTTTACAACGTTTACACGAAGGCTTTTTAAACTATCCGGGATAGTCGTATTGCTGATGAAAATATATATTATTCATATAAGTGGGTCTCGGTTATGCTTTGTTTTAAAAAGTTAAAAATATTTCTTTAGACGTCCCCGGAGCTCAGTGGTAAGTCCCCGGAGCAAATCGACTGCAATTGATAATAAAAACGTTTTGGTGGATATAAATCATATATAAATACAAGCGACTGTTCGAATATAAAACTTATTGTGTTAAGTTCAGACGGTTTGATAACTAATTAGGCCTTCATTATTTGATTAATATAAGATTAATACCATATGATTTTTCAATGTTTTTTTATTATGTAATTTATTCGCTAAAAATATAATGACATTGAGGCAGAATCTGGGGTAAAAAATTACAAGCAACATGTATAATTGACCTACCAATCCATTCCTTACAATATCAAATACAATATCTCCCAAAAGGTAACCATTCTTAAAGAAAAATAATACATTATTGTAAAAATCTTTAGTTTTCCTGGAATAAAGTATGCACTTTTGTGATTTTTGGAAATAGACTTGAAAAGGAACGACATGAGCCAGAAATATTCTAAAATTGGAACAAGTTTTTGTTTAGCCTGCTCACTATATCTGATTCTCTCTTTAACATGAAAATGGAGAGCAAGTAAACTGGAACGATAAAAATTTGAATTCTATACAATCTCTTAGATAAGTGGAGTGTATCTGAAAAAAATCGTTTTTTGCAATGATTGATTTTTCTTTGGAAAAGTGATGGGTAAATAAATACTGAACAAATGAAAGAGTGAATAAATTGAACAAATGCTTGTGTTTATAAATGATATTCGCTTTTAAATAATTCATTTCAGAACGTTTTGAATTATTTAAGGCGGGGACCTGCAAGCCTCGGGGCCGTCCCAATTAAGTTAATTGAAATAAAACAAAACAAAGATGTACACATTGGAAAGAACATGTGTTTCATCAATATTACGACTATTCCAGATTTTTATTCGATGGAGTATTCGGAGTATGGGACGTCTGAATTGTTTTCAATAACTTTCAATAACTTCGTATTGGACCAGAACTGGCTTAAAACAAAATTCCTACAAAGGACTGATTTAGCCATTGCCCAAGATGGGTTATTTTGTCCGAGAAGATGCAGCTTTTAAGTTAATTGTACGAAATTATCGTTATTTCTAAATGTAAAATCTCATGCTCTGGGGTCTTCCCAAAATTAAATCTCACCCCGTGCCTAAGGTTGCCAAACGTTTTGAGGGAAGTGTAACTTCACTATGACATGTTTTTAACAAAATAAGGCTTTCGTGTTCACCATAACAAATATCAATTCATTTACTGCTCATATATGTAGTTTTCAAATAGCAAAGTGATTTAATGTTTCTGGTTATATGCATTTTTTCGCAAAATGATATTTTGGGAAATCCTGACCGGGGGTTCGTTCGAACCCACCGAACCCCCGCTGCCTACGGCTATGCATAATGTGTACAGTGTAGCCTTTGCTGCTTGGTAGGGGGGGGGCAATCACAACTTGAATGGTTGAACTGACAGTCATTGGAAATACCTGCAGCTAGAAGGAATGGAGCCAGCACATCTATAGCAAAAGAGGCTAGGACATGTTCAAGATGGCTGTGGCTATGGCGAAATACCAATTGGCTCCATCAATAATACATGTATTTTAGAACTTACATTTTGACCCTTTGTGCGTCATGTACACACCCATCACCCACAATTATTGATATTGTCCACAGTATCAATTTCATTGATTCAGTATTTAAAAAAAACTACAGTTTGCAAATGCACAGCAACTAGACTGTGGTTTCATTTGTAGTTACATGTACATGTATATTGAGTGATTCTTAGAACAACCAAGTACATGTACATTTACCCACCTTTGGGAATTACAGGTTTTCAATAACATTGTAGATGGGATGTATACTGCAAAAGGTGCTCATTCCACGAGCTTGACCTTGCACCTGGCAGACATATCAGTTATTGAAGGGAATTGTATTGGAAATTTAGAAAGTTTTTCCATCAAGTAATTGGAGCAATTCTAGTGTCCCATACGCTTTTGTAAATTAAAAAGAATACTTACATGATATACCAATAATTGTACCTATTGTAATGGTTTTACAGCTTTCTAATAGAATGCACAATCTCAATAAGTATAACTTGAACTGTTTTATTTTATTTTAGATGCCAGGTAAAAAAGATCTTGTGATAGAGCCATCTCTTATGAGACCCTTGGATCGAATAGCAGGGGCATCTTTACTCAAGGTTAGTCATTTATGAGACCCTTGGATCAAATAGCAGGGGCATCTTTACTCAAGGTTAGTCATTTATGAGACCCTTGGATAGAATAGGAGGGGCATCTTTACTCAAGGTAAGTCATTTATGAGACCATTGGATCGAATAGCAGGGGCATCTTTACTCAAGGTGAGTATTTATGAGACCCTTGGATAGAATAGCAGGGGTATCTTAACTCAAGGTAAGTCATTTATGTACAGGTACTACAGAGTGGGCAACAAACCCTAGTGTCAACTTTTTAGCCTCTAACTTCATGGGAAAACAAAGGTCATTTGATTGAATGGTGTCATATTGTGCTACTCCTGCTGATAAAAATATGACACTGCCCAGTGGATTTGTGTGAAATGTCATTAAAAACAAATCAGTCGTGCTACCACAGATTTTCCCAGAAGTACCTCTTCCCCTTCCCAGTACCAAATACCAAATAACTATAAATCGGTTGCAAATCAAGTTACATTCATATTTTTTAAGGTGAATTTAATTACTAGAATAATATACATGTAGGTCAATATATTTTATGAATTTTTTCAGGAAAATGGTATTGAGAAAATCTTCAAGTTAGAGCCAAAGTTGAAGTGTGTCCAAGGTAGTGGCCAGTAAGTATTAATTATTAGTACTCTATTTTATTCCCTTTTTCAGCGACTAACAAATTGATTAATTTAGACTTCAGTTTCTAGATTTATTTTGGATTTCTCTCCTTCTCTTGTTGTCTTCAACTTATTCCTTTCTCATTCTTCATATTCTTCATTACTTCCACGTTCCTCCTTTTTTACTCCATTGTTTTCCCTTTTCATTATTTTTTATTATTCCCTTATTATTGCCACCTTTATTTCTCTAATAGGAGATCATAAGATAAAGTCAGGTCCACCAACCATAAGATAAATGGTTCACTATAAGATATAGGTTTTCATAAGATAAAATGATCGCAAGATACATGTGTAAGTCTCTATGAGAGATGTTTCTTAATTAAGTTTTTCATGTTTCAGGCGTATATATCTGGTGCGTCCTGAGATGCTCACAATGAAGCAGGTTGCAGACCACATCAATGCTGATATTGCAGTGGACTCAGTGCAGAAGAAGTACAAGATACTCATGGTGCCAAGAAAGGTAAAGGATGGCATCCAAATGTTAAGAGTTGTGGAAAAATGAATAGCTTCATTATTATTTAATCACCTCCATCCTCCCGTTTTAATCTGAAAATGTTGATTTGTTGTTCACTTGAATTTCAGGTGAAAGTCAACACTTCTCACAAATGAAACCATCATTTACCAAGAGAACAGATATATATTTTATTTTTTTAAATTTATTTCATTAAAACAATATAATATTTGTACAAATTGTATCCATGACACACTTATGGATGTATAATTGACCACATATTATCTTCATATTAAAGTTTCCTCATATAATGCCCTTTGGCAATTTGCCCTGATCCCATGTTCTTATTATATAATTTCTGTTAAAATCAAAGTGACCTCGCTCCTCTACAACTATTGACAATGGGTATTTTTCCATCAGAGAGTACAATTTAGTAATTTACTAATAAATGTCATTTCTAAACATCGCATATTTTTAAGTCTATTAATGAAGAGTTGTTTAAAATCTGTACTGGATATTTATAATGATTAAAGTCAATACTTGACCGCATGTATTTAAATGTCTTTTCTAGTGAACGATTTATTTACATTCATGTATCATTAGAGATCTTGAACACATGGAGGTTGAAGTATTTCTGTTGTCTTGAAGACCACTTGTATAACTCTACAAAGGGTGGTGGAAATGTCTCGGGCTCAGTATAAGGATCATAAGAAATAAATTACCCTTTGAGAGCCCTATTAACGTGGGGGGCATTAACAGAAAGTTCTTAAAGTTAAGAATTCATAAAACCCATTGTTCTCTTACTGTGACGTCATTATATCCATGGTTACAACAGTTGATTTACTAATTTGTAACTTTACGAAGTTTCTGTTAATGACCCCATGATTAACACAGACGAAACATTTTTGTCTCCAGCTTCATGTCTGTGAGCAGATTCTGGAGCAGGAAGGTGTACACGGTTATGTCACAATAGAAGAATTCCAGCTAGACTTCATACCTCTTGACACGGACCTTGTATCACTAGAACTACCAGAGTTCACAAGATCCTGTTTAATGGTAAGCTGATCTATTACTCTAGTATATTACATTAGTGTTCTCTCCAGTTTCTTAGAAGTAAGCTAGGTGCAAAATTTCCAGTTTGCATTTTTGATTTTAGAAATAAATAAATCTGATTGAAATACAGATACAGTTTTTCAAGGTTTCTACTACATGTATTTTTATATTAGAATCATTCTTACCTGAATATGCTTAAATATATTTTGAACAATCCATGTATCACTAATTTGACTTTATTCTGTGTGCCTTATGAATGGCAGTATTACATGTGTATTGTTTACATATATTATAGTGCAGTGATGTATTGTTTACAAGTAGGTAGTGCCATATTGTTTATTTGTATGAGGTGATGTGTTGTTCACAAGTATAATAGTGCCACATTGTTCACATGTACAATACATAATAAAGTTATATATTGTTTGCAAGTACAAATGTGATATAAAATCCTTATTTACAATGTAGGATGGGGATCAGAGTTGGAGCCACACTATAGCCAAGTCCCTTGTCAACCTTCAAACATACTTCGGCATCATTCCAAATGTCTATGGACATGGCAAGAATTCCAAGGTATGATCAACTTGTTTACTGATCAATTGTTTTCAGATTTTTCAATTAGAAATCAATTCCATGACACATGAGAGTCACTTTCTTTGAAAAAGTTATTTGAAATATTTAAGTGACATTTTGTAACCACTGAATTTTTTTTCAATAAGTGACAGTCTATTATTTGATTTTGATTTTTAATTATTTCAACCAAAGATACATTTTCAATTGTTGACTATTTACTTCAACAACCATTGCCATTATTTCAACCATTGACATAAATAATTACATGTCAACCATTTTATTCAACCATTGACATTATTCATGATGTTATTTTTCAGATGGTGTTTGAGTTAATGCAGACCATGTTTGAGTATGATGAACCAAAACAAATCAATCATGATATTGGAAACCTCTTCCTCATAGACAGAGGTAAAACCACATATGAACATGCTACAATTATTTTTGAGAACTGCAAAATAAAAAGTTAAGAAAAGGCTACATTTCTAGATACTGAAGTAGATTATGCTGCAACTGATATAACATTCTCGATATTGAACCCATTATTTTTGTCAAAGTTAGTTTAAGATCTGAAAAGTATTGTTTTTTCATCTTCAGATATCGACTTTGTGACACCCTTGTGTTCGCAGATGACATATGAGGGACTTCTTGATGATATATTCAGCATTGACAGCGGTAAGATATTTATAATTGAATATTTACTTGAACCTATATTATTTTTAACTCATGAACCCTACAATGTAAAACAGTGGAGGAATAGTGTATGTAGACTTTTTCACATTAGAGGTTTTGTACAACGTTTTTGGTTCAAGGTATCTAAAATCCGAAAGTCATTCATCAGATTTATGCCTAGCAGTTCAATTGAAACGAGATGCGGCTGCAGATACATTTTAGTTATAACCCTTTGTGCCAAACCTCTCTTTTATACATGAAGCTTATAGATATGTTACAGTGTAGCTCTGTGTTTTCAGGTTTCGTGGAGTTTGGATCAGAAGTAACAGGAACTGAAAAGTCTGTGAAACTGCTGCTCTCTAGTCAGGACATGGTACGTACGATTTACCATATTTATTTATTTGTGCATTTCTCATTATTAAAGGTACCATGTAGCTTTTTTCATATTTTAATTTTCATATAATGATTTTAAAAAAAAAGATGAAGCCACTGAGGTAACTTATCCAAACAGACATTACTGTTATAATCATTTACAATCAAATACCATATTATAAGACTCCAGATAGTAAACCTGTATTCTATATCTGTTTCTTATACTACTCTTTCTATTAAATACCTGTCTAGCTACACAACACTTTTTATCATGTCAGCACCAAGAAATAGTAACATTACAATACATCAAGGATTATTAATTCATTTAATATCAGGAGTTTCTCTCTGTGTACATGTCCTCCCTCAAGCTAGCCACAGTAATGTGGCTGCAATAATGTGGTTATACTTGCAGTAATGTGGTTATACTTGCAGTAATGTGGCTGCAGTAATGTGGTTATACTTGCAGTAATGTGGTTATACTTGCAGTAATGTGGCTGCAATAATGTGGTTATACTTGCAGTAATGTGGCTGCAGTAATGTGGTTATACTTGCAGTAATGTGGTTATACTTGCAGTAATGTGGCTGCAATAATGTGGTTATACTTGCAGTAATGTGGCTGCAATAATGTGGTTATACTTGAAGTAATGTGGCTGCAATAATGTGGTTATACTTACAGTAATGTGACTGCAATAATGTGGTTATACTTAGTAATGTGGCTGCAATAATGTGGTTATACTTGCAGTAATGTGGCTGCAATAATGTGGTTATACTTGCAGTAATATGGCTGCAATAATGTGGTTATACTTGCTGTAATATGGCTGCAATAATGTGGTTATACTTGCAGTAATGTGGCTGCAATAATGTGGTTATACTTAAAGTAATATGGCTGCAATAATGTGGTAATACTTAAAGTAATATGGCTGCAATAATGTGGTTATACTTGCAGTAATGTGGCTGCAATAATGTGGTTATACTTGCAGTAATATGGCTGCAATAATGTGGTTATACTTACAGTAATATGGCTGCAATAATGTGGTTATACTTACAGTAATGTGGCTGCAATAATGTGGTTATACTTAAAGTAATGTGGCTGCAATAATGTGGTTATACTTGCAGTAATGTGGCTGCAATAATGTGGCTATACTTGCAAAAATATGGCTGCAATAATGTGGTTATACTTGCTGTAATATGGCTGCAATAATGTGGTTATACTTACTGTAATGTGGCTGCAATAATGTGGTTATACTAACAGTAATGTGGCTGCAATAATGAGGTTATACTTGCTGTAATATGGCTGCAATAATGTGGTTATACTTACTGTAATGTGGCTGCAATAATGTGGTTATACTAACAGTAATGTGGCTGCAATAATGTGGTTATACTTGCAGTAATATGGCTGCAATAATGTGGTTATACTTACAGTAATGTGGCTGCAATAATGTGGTTATACTTACAGTTATGTGGCTGCAATAATGTGGTTATACTTGCTGTAATATGGCTGCAATAATGTGGTTATACTTACTGTAATGTGGCTGCAATAATGTGGTTATACTAACAGTAATGTGGCTGCAATAATGTGGTTATACTTGCAGTAATATGGCTGCAATAATGTGGTTATACTTACAGTAATGTGGCTGCAATAATGTGGTTATACTTACAGTAATGTGGCTGCAATAATGTGGTTATACTTGCAGTAATGTGGCTGCAATAATGTGGTTATACTTGCTGTAATATGGCTGCAATAATGTGGTTATACTTAGTAATGTGGCTGCAATAATGTGGTTATACTTGCAGTAATGTGGCTGCAATAATGTGGTTATACTTGCAGTAATATGGCTGCAATAATGTGGTTATACTTACAGTAATGTGGCTGCAATAATGTGGTTATACTTGCAGTAATGTGGCTGCAATAATGTGGTTATACTTGCAGTAATGTGGCTGCAATAATGTGGTTATACTTGCAGTAATGTGGCTTCAATAATGTGGTTATACTTGCAGTAATGTGGTTATACTTGCAGTAATGTGGCTGCAATAATGTGGTTATACTTGCAGTAATGTTGCTGCAATAATGTGGTAATACTTTCAGTAATGTGGCTGCAATAATGTGGTTATACTTGCAGTAATGTGGCTGCAATAATGTGGTTATACTTGCAGTAATGTGGCTGCAATAATGTGGTTATACTTGCAGTAATATGGCTGCAATAATGTGGTTATATTTGCAGTAATGTGGCTGCAATAATGTGGTTATACTTGCAGTAATTTGGCTGCAATAATGTGGTTATACTTGCAGTAATGTGGCTGCAATAATGTGGTTATACTTGCAGTAATGTTGCTGCAATAATGTGGTTATATTTGCAGTAATGTGGCTGCAATAATATGGTTATATTTGCAGTAATGTGGCTGCAATAATGTGGTTATACTTGCAGTAATGTGGCTGCAATAATGTTGTTATACTTGCAGTAATATGGCTTCAATAATATGGTTATATTTGCAGTAATATGGCTGCAATAATGTGGTTATACTTGTTGCAGTAATGTGGCTGCAATAATGTGGTTATACTTGCAGTAATATGGCTTCAATAATATGGTTATATTTGCAGTAATATGGCTGCAATAATGTGGTTATACTTGCAGTAATGTGGCTGCAATAATGTGGTTATACTTGCAGTAATGTGGCTGCAATAATGTGGTTATATTTGCAGTAATGTGGCTGCAATAATATGGTTATATTTGCAGTAATGTGGCTGCAATAATGTGGTTATACTTGCAGTATTGTGGCTGCAATAATGTGGTTATACTTGCAGTAAAGTGGCTTCAATAATATGGTTATATTTGCAGTAATATGGCTGCAATAATGTGGTTATACTTGCAGTAATGTGGCTGCAATAATGTGGTTATACTTACAGTAATGTGGCTGCAATAATGTGGTTATACTTGCAGTAATATGGCTTCAATAACATGGTTATATTTGCAGTAATATGGCTGCAATAATGTGGTTATACTTGCAGTAATGTGGCTGCAATAATGTGGTTATACTTGCAGTAATGTGGCTGCAATAATGTGGTTATACTTGCAGTAATGTGGCTGCAATAATGTGGTTATACTTGCAGTAATATGGCAGCAATAATGTGGTTATACTTGCAGTAATATGGCTGCAATAATGTGGTTATACTTGCAGTAATATGGCTGCAATAATGTGGTTATACTTGCAGTAATGTTGCTGCAATAATGTGGTTATACTTACAGTAATGTGGCTGCAATAATGTGGTTATACTTAAAGTAATGTGGCTGCAATAATGTGGTTATACTTGCAGTAATATGGCTGCAATAATGTGGTTATACTTGCTGTAATGTGGCTGTATTAATGTGGTTATACTTATCCAACATGACTATAAAAGTCAGCCTATGATGGCTTGGTGAAATCCATTAATATTGAAAAATATTATTTTTCAATAGTGGTTATCAAATGATTCAATTTTCTCTTAATTCTAACTTATTTCATATTTGTATCATGTATCATGATATAGAGATTTAGACAGGACCCAGTGTATATTGGTGAATGTGCCTCTTAACATCATTCTCTGGCTTTATTAGGAAGAACACTTCACATACCTTAAAGGCAGAATCTGAACTATAGGAGGTGACAAAGTTACAAGCAACATGTATAATTGACCTACCAATCTATTCCTTACAATATCAAATACAATATCTCTCAAAAGATTCACAATATGTTATAAATTGGTGAAGTTATTAATGATTCAAAGTGCAAAAATGTTTAAATTCTCCCAAATAATAAGAATCATAACCATTCTTATAGAAAAATAATACATTATTGTAAAAATCTTTAGTTTTCCTGGAATAAAGTATGCACTTTTGTGATTTTTAGAAAATAGACATGACAAGGAATGACAATTGAGCCAAAAATATTCTAAAATTGAAACAATTTTTTGTTTAGCCTGCTTGCTATATCTGATTCTCTCTTTAAGTTGGTCCTGGACATAATAATTTGTATGCCCTGGATCTCCTATTGACCTTTCCTATATAAATTCATGAATGAATTCATGAGTTCATGAATGCGGGATCAAATTATGTGCGACTTCATCTGACTTCATCTCCATGTGCATGGACAGGACATTAAACCTATGACAAATTTGTCTCTCATATTATATACTAGAATTCATAGTATATTTATTATTGCCCCAAACATTCTGATAAAAGAGAAGATTCAGCTTTAAATTTTTTTAATTTTTAAACAATCTTCAGAGCAACATAGAGAAATTGATACTTTTGTTGAAGTCTTTCCATTTTACAGTCCACAATTTTTAATTAATCAATTAATAATCCAGGTGGAATATGAAACAAGGAGAAACAATAAGTTAAACTGTATTTCCATATTAGGACACAAATGTCAGTAAACCACACACTATATAATTCAAATATATAAATGTCAACTAGTGATAAACAAATGATTGACAAAAGGTTAATGAATTACTCTGATGATATGTGGTTTTATGTTAATGTTAATGTATTTATTCACCTTTTAATGAAACAATTCTTCAAGGGTGCAATAAAATTATTAATTACACTTTTCATCTCATTTCATTATATACCAATTACTCAGATGCGAGTAGGTTACCAGTTTTGCCACAAGGTGGCTATTTCGGGGGAAAATAACATGGCAGGGTATTACAAAGTTCCCTTAAACTTGAATATTTATCAGTTCCAGTGGTTCACTTTTATGTATTTGATAGTTACACAAATTAAAATATGTCCAATAATAGAAAATATTATTTGCCCAACACAAGAAAAGAATTTCACTTTTTGTGATTTTACAACATGGGGACTATTGGGAATATCTCAGAACGAGAAGTTATATTTTCAAATAAAATAAAATTTTCAAAGTTGATAAACTCAAAACCATATTTCTAGATGTAGATTTAAATGTAGATTCCAAATATGACATCATGGCTGAATCTTTAATTTTAATAATTACATAAATCAAGATTATTTCTACTTGCATCTCGTCTATTGAAAACTTACCTGTGTCTAGTGAACACCCTTTCTCAACAAGTACTCCACTGACTTTTGTATAAAATTGCATTGAAACTGTACTCACACTTTTATGTCCCAAAATATTTGCAAAAAGGGGATTTCTAGAAGTATTGTATATAGTACCATGTTCTATCATGTTGAATAGTTTGTGCAACAAACGACCCATGCCACATACTTTTCATCTCCAAGTTTAGGAAACAAGGCCTGAGTAGAATGAATCAGCCACAATGCATCAAGTCTTGGGCTTAAATTCCTTTTGCATAAATATTTTTTATGAAATCACCTAAAAGATATGAAATCACTAAAAGTACATATTTTCAATAAAACCTTTTGCAAGGGTCAAGGTAATAAAGTATCAGTTTCAATCTATAGAGTCTACTTGTCACCTTGATAACCATATGACAGGTAGCCTTAGGTGGTTATATAATGCACTGCCGTTTTTTGAGATACTGGGTTTGGTTTGGCTTAAATCGGACACTTGCCTAGATATGTTTTCTGGTTGGTCATTCCAGTTGCTTGCCTTGCAATTGGCAAAACAGTCTCTTCAGAATGGGTTGGCAATGATGTGACTGTAAAAAGGAAGACATTCTAATATTTTATCCTTTTGAGGGGAATATATTTCACAAGTAAAAACCCCAGGATATTTTGTGATATTTTATGTCATGTGAGGTGGCATGCTCAAGATTATTAAAGGTCAGATAGTACTTTATACAATGGAATACAGTCGTACATGTTAGTCTTTAAAGTTCTAAGATAAGCTATATGAATTGCATATGCCTCATCAACTTGAATCCAGCCTTTAATTAATGAAACCACAGACAACAACACTGGAAAATGAGTAGGCTGCATGAGTCACGCAAATGGGATATAAATTGTGGATAGCTTTTGTTTATTAATTTGTGACTTCACACATTGAAGATGGGTATGCTTCGTAAGTAACAATACTACATTTATAACTTTTATTTTATTCTGAAAACATTTCACTATTTTGTCCTTTCTGCTGCATGAAAATCGAATCAATAATGATTAAGCAAATAATCAATGGATATTAAAAATTTTGATGATTTCTTTACGCAAATTTAAAATAAAATCTGGGTCTGTAATGATATCAAATAGATCATATGATTTCTGTAACAGTTTGATTTAGTTTGGAGCTCTGATAAACCCACAAGTTTATTTTGATTGTCAACTAATTAGATGAAAATATTAAGTTACCATTGATTGAAAAGTAGATCCTGCTCAATAAATGAATATATGTAGAAACAAAAAGAAATATTTTCAATTCAATCTAGGCCTGTTCCATTATTATATAATAGGCATAAATTACATCATATGTAGTATCGAAATGCAAGACCCCTGAAATGATTTAAGAGATCCATATTTCTTCCAGGCCTGTTTGCGTGTTGCTTAATATTTGTGATTCTCAATGGTAAAGATGTTCAGTGTAAAGAAAATCCTGTAACAGGCATCATCAAGGGTGTATACCTGACTGAAGACAAGCTCACTGAAAGGTTTCTTAAGATTGATGCTAAAGTTGTACATCACCTTCTTGAAGTTACAACCAAGGAAGCCAAAGAATACATCAAAACTTTGCCAGAAAAAGATAAAGATAAGCGCATAGTTGAAAGGTCAATAAAAATGATGAGTAAAATTGACACACGTCTGAAGAAGTTCTGGAATCAATTAAACAAATGGAATGAAATCAGGGTTGAAGTATTGAACATCATGAGGTATGATTCAAAGGCTATGCTAGAGATGACAGATTTCATATTTAAAGACACCCTTCATATTTCCAATGATATTGAAACCTATGAATCAGATATAAATTATTCCTTTGAGTATGTGATAAGGGCCACAGGGCTTAAAAACATGGACAGCAACTTACTGAATGGAACGAAATTTACAAAAGACTATCGCAAGAGCATTGACAGGTGGTTAGATAAAGATTCAAATTTGAAAGGAATGATGATGAGGTTGAAAGAGAAATTGAAACAATTCTACATGGTGCTTAAAAGACTTAAGAAATTGACAGGATGGATGGTTAAGTCAGTCCTCCGGTTAAAAATTCCTGAAATTGATGGTAAGGCTTAAATTTCTTCTACATAAACAGTAACATATTATTTACAATACATGTATTTATGAAAAAATCTTCATATTATTTTTACCAGAACTGCTTATTCTTCATATCTAATTATAGGATCTAACAATTGCAACAAACAGTCTGAAGGGGTCAACTTTATAAAGACAGATAATGGTGCAAATTTCCTAGCAGTTTGTGACTCAGAATGGCTTGTTGTTGCTCAAAGGTTTGATGGTAGTGTTGACTTCCGTCGTCCTTATGAAGAATACAGTCATGGTTTTGGTGATCCACCATCAGAGTACTTCATTGGACTTGATAATCTTGTTTCTGCAGCTGCACAAGATCAATATATGCTGCGTTTTGAGTTGACAACATGGACCAATGAAACCAGGACAGCTGACTTTTTAAGTTTTGACATTACACCATTAGACTACGTTGACGATTATCACAGTTATTATAGACCTTCTTGGTATAGTCTCAGAGTAAAGAATTTACAAGGCACAGCTGGAAATTCCCTTTACTATCAAGACCAATATAATGACAGTGGGTTTGTACCAGTTTCGATGACAGGAGAATGTTTTCCAGAAGAAATAGGATGGTGGTGGGGTTACTGTGGCAAGGCTAATTTATTTGGACGATATAACCATGGGCCTGAATGTGATAAAGCAATGGACTGTATGAGCTGGAAAGCATGGCCAGACCAACTTCTTAAGGAAAAGGATAATAGGTTTTATTCATTTAAATCAATGAGAATAATGATTCGTCCACGTCCAGTTGATATGCCACCTCAATGTATTGAAGAGCTTGATGATGAATCAGTTCTAGAAAATGATAACAACCACCTTCTTGGTAAATGTGATGGACGTTGGTTGATTGTTGCTCAAAGGTTCGATGGGAGTGTAGATTTTAACAGGACGTGGGCTGAATATAAAGCTGGATTTGGTGACATCTCCGGAGAGTTCTTCACTGGTCTTCAAACTTTAGCTTCTCTCACGTCAAAAAATTTGTATTCTCTTAGGTTCCAAATGACAAATTTAAATGGTGAGATGATTTATGAGGAAACTGATGGTATTACAATTTCAGATGAAAAAGGATTATATAGCTCTGTAATTTCTAACTCATATACATATCGAGGAAATGGGAGTGAGGACATATTTGGCATACACCTTGAAAAGTTCTCAACATGGGATAGTGATAATGATGGTAATCCAAATGTTTCCTGCGTTCATGAAAGAGGTGGGCCATTCTGGCACTCTTTTTATAATTCTAAGAATGAGTGTTATCAAATATGGCCATCATATATATTTGCAAAATTCAATCAATCAGGTACCATCAAAGATATGAAAATGATGATTAGACCTGATAAAGTTCCTTGCATTGAACAGAAGGCTGGCATAAATGAAATATTTCTTATCAATGGAGAATCGTTCAAGGCTCAATGTGAGGAAAACTGGCTTATGGTGGCTCACAGATTTGATGGAAGTGTCGATTTCTATCGTACATGGGCTGAATATAAAGCTGGATTTGGAGACCCATCTGGAGAATATTTTATTGGTCTTGAAAATCTGGGAGCATTGCTGACTTTAGGAAGAAGATATGTATTAAAACTTGAGTTCACTGCATGGAATGGCCAAACTGAGACTGCAGAATACTACATTTTTCGATTTAATGAAACTTCTGCTACAGAATCAGATACTTCGTTAAGACTTGAGGATTTCCGAGGTTCTGGTAACGATGTTATGTCAACTTCCCACATTTACCATTATACATATGATACCATTAATGACTACCCCTTTTCTACTTGGGATCATGAAGATGAAAATTATTGGATGACACAAAATTGCTCTGCATTACGTAGAGGAGCCTGGTGGTGGTACCAGTCAAAGGGATTTTCTGAATACTATAGAGAAAGAAATGTGGATTACAAGGACCAAGATGGCTGTGGACTTACAAACCCATTTGGACGATACATGAATGGACCAGAATGTGACATAGAGTATGGCTGTATGAGCTGGATGGGTTGGCCAGGAGAACTTTTCAGTGAAGCTAAGCGAAAAGAAAACAAGATACTTCACAATGGCTGGTATTCCTTCAAGGAGATGAAGTTTCTCATACGACCCAGAGAACCCAATTGGTACAGTGATAATTGGTGGGCTTATTAGTAAAAAGCCATCATACACATTTGAGGCAAATTGACTGTACAATGTATTTGAATATTCAAGGTTTTATTGACAGATATAATGTTGTACTGAACATTATGCAATAATTAATCAGCATACAGGCATAAGGTGACACAAAAAGGATTACACCCACCTTACATTGCATAACTTGTTTGTCTATCAGATGTGTAGCTCAAGTGGGTCAAATTTTATGAGCGTTACAACATTTGCTCTTAATGTCGTCCATTCCTTTGCAGACACACATGGATCCTCCTAAAAAATGCAACACAGCTAATTGTAACATAACTTTGTAAATACTAATGATTTTGACTTGTTCTTTCAAGATAACGAAGTCCATTCAATGAAACACAAAACAATGTAGTTGTCTTTGATATAATCATTTCCAAAATTATGTTACAAAAGGTGGGTCTCGTTTTTTGTGTAAGACCCAGTTGTGCCAGGAATAGACGACACACTTTGTAACGCTCATAAATGTGCATCTAGGTGAGCTAGTCATTTGAAACTTCTTGTGGATTTACAAAATGGAGTGTTGTTTTAATGTGCAAAAATAAGTCTAAACTCCTTCACACAAAAACATTACCGTGTTTTGGAATTATTATGAAGCATTGTGTCGGTGGGTGTCATTTTTATTGTGTCACACAGTATTTGACTTTGGTGGAAAGTGATTATAAATTTATTCAGAAATGATAAGATAAACTACATTTATTAAACGTCATACACTGTTGGATTATTTATTCAGACATGAATACTTATGGATTATATTTTAGTAGATAAAGAGAATGTTATTCAGATGAAATAGGTTTGTAAAAAGTATGTGTATTCCTTCAACACTATTAGATTGATGCAAGTAATAATGTATATTCATATTGCGGAGGACAGGACCATTTCACTGGTGATCCACTTGATTACGCTGGAACTGATTCGGTAACCAAATGTCGGAACGTTGAATGTATGTTTTAACTTTTTTCCTTATTTCACACGTTGTAGGCAGAATTCCCACTACATTTTTATCACAAACGTGTATCAGTATCATATGTTTAAGAAAATGTACACATTTGCGAACAAATAGTTTAGAAGACAACATAATCGTCAATTTAATTCCTCACTTAAGTTACATGAACAGTACAGTATTTCGAAAAACAGTTAAGATCTGCACTTTTAACGCCTACTTATACCGTTTATGTAACATAAGTGAGGAATTAAATCCACGATTCTGTTGTTTTCTGAGCTATTTTTTGCAAACATGTACATTTTCTAATATGATACTGATAAACGTTTGTGAGAAAAAATGTCGTTGGGATTCTGCCTGCATGAAATAAGGAAAAAGAAAAATCGTATCTTGGACATTCATACATTTTCGTTTCGGTAACCAGCGTAATCGAGTGGATCATCAGTGCATTTTTGATAAGATATAGGTTCAAACATAGACTGGAAAAAAGATGTACATGTATATGTTCAAACATGATAGATTGGTGAGAGTTTGTTGTCAGATATCAATTTGTAGAGAATACATGTTTTAATTCAAACAAGAAAGATCAGTAGAGTGCGTTTTTTGGAGATGACATTAAATGCATTTTTACGAAGCCCCCCCCCCCCACAAAGTGGGCGGTACCCTTCGTTCCATGGACCGGGTTAAGACCATTCATGTGACCTAATTAAAAAAAGTCCCACCTTTATTTGCTAATATGACAAATCATCAAGGCGACTGCCAAGTCGTCAAATGATGTGATTGTGATTCGAGATATGACGTATCACTATGAGGTCAATAAATAATCGAAAGTCACACATCACTGTCCATGTGACGTCAAGTTACCTAACCAACAACAATACATGCATTTAAGTTTGCTGTTCGTGGAACAGTTTTCTCCAAACATATGGCCCCGCATATGGCCTTCGTGTTTTTCTAGTGAAATTCACCTATATAATCCTGAAATACCCTGTCAGCAACTTTTCCTGGAATAAAATGTCCTTCCTAATTGAATAAATTTATGTCAGTTTTTTTCTGATGTGGGATATAAAAGCACCAGTGAGGAAACACAAGAAAATGAAACAAGCTCAACCATCAAATTAAGAATCATAAGGAAAATTACCCTCCTAAATGTGAGGTTGATTTTTCAAATTACCCCCTCAACTGCTTGTACGTATATTGAAATCTTGGGGTTGAAAATAAGCTAGATTAATGGTTATTTAAACAATGGTGCCTTTATGTCAACTACTGACAACCTTTTAAAACTACAAGATTTCAATACACAAGTAGTTGTGGGGGTGATTTGAGTTGGCGGAGTGTTCTAAAGTGGCAGAACAAATTCATCTGATGTCATAACCATGAGGTCTTGAGTTCCAAGACCTGTGAGCTCCTTGCTTCATTCATTTATTGTTCAGTCTTGTAAAGATCTGCTTGACTATCATTATGGCTTGTGACCTTCTACATGTATAAGCTGATCAAAAAATCCCAGTCTTCATAATTAATCAGAGTGAGGACCACAAAATGCCTCTAAACTATGTTTAAATTAGTAGGTCAGATCTTAGTAATACCAAACAGGTGTACAATCTGGAGTCACATTTTACTTAAATCTTCTGGTACAGTATTGATACATCTTCAGATATATGAGCTAAACCTTTAAGGTGATAGAGTGTTCAAGGTAACTAACTTATATGGTTTTTGTATACTGACACCATGAAATGTTTTGGTTTTGTAGGTTTACCAAGATATACGCAACAAGCATTTTTCTATGGTATTCAGCTATCTCAGTAACAAAGCTAAGGAGCTACAAACAGGCTATGATGTAAGTATGTATTAAATCTGCGTAGCACAGCGAATAGTATATACATGTACATGTATATTAAGCTCTTGCATTTAAATTCCTAACAAATTAATAGGCAGAATCATTTTATACATCTTGAGCTTTTTATCTACCATTGTAAAAGATGGGTGACATTCTGACAATTGCTCATTTATTGAACTTAAGTCTCCATACAGATTGTGGCTTCCCAAATGAATATCTCATGACATTAGTTAGAGATTGTATTTTGTTTCACCCAAATCTTTGTTTTAGAAACGTCACAATCTTGCCTCAGTATCAGACATGAAGAATTTTGTTCAGAATGACTTGAAGGATTTGAAACAACAACATAAGTCATTGACCTTACGTAAGTATTCACCTAAACAATATTAAATGACATATGCCTATATACGAGTTAATGTATGAGTTATTAATGTATGAATGATTTCAAACTTGGTTATATTCATAGAAACTATGTAACTCTGACTCAAAATTTGCCTTGGTTCTGCCATGATCTTGAGAGGAAGGGATACTTAATCTCATATGTATATAACTGATGAAGTTCATACCTTTATTTTCCAAGTTAGTTTGTATTAATAATGTAATACAATAATAAGAATAAGTTAGAACATGATAAGCATTAAATGACCTCTTGTGAAGTTATGAGTGATCTCAGAAACCTAATTGAAGTTAATTTACATCAAGGTGCTTATGTACTCTAATTTTTTGGGAGATCACATATATTTATGAAACATATATTTTATTTATCATATTGTTTCCAGATATTGGAGCTTGTGAAGTGATTCTCAATAACAAAACAAAGGGAGGGGACTTTGAGGAACAGATGCGGACAGAACACAGTATGTCATCATTTTTAAGCCATGTGCTCGGAAAATATGATATTGACCTTGGGTAATATGATATTGACACTCGATCGCTGCGCTCTCTCAGTCAATATTATATTACCCTTCGGTAAATATCATATTGTCCCTCGGAATAAAACCCATATTCAATCCCTCCCAGTAAATAACCTATATGCATTGAGATATGAGGAAATACTAAAGTCTATTTTTTCCTTAATACTTGCATGAATTGGTTCATTCAATTTTTGTTGATGTCATAATTTATTCTCAGTCTTAAATTTTGAAGAAATTACAAAATCAAACATGTCAAAAAATTAGATTTTGTGCAAAAGGAGGAGGTAAATTAGCACAATAGATTTTTGGACAGTCATATGTTTGATTTTGGCCATCTCCTGGGGATTTAAACACGTGCATATGTTAGGCCAATTCATTACCTCCAGGAAAATCATTTCTAGAGATGATAAAATAATTTCGGCTTTGAGACAGGGTAGATGCAAACAACCTACCCACATGTTTTTTCTGAAATGTTTTCCTGATTTTCTAACCTCTTCCATCCATCCATTTTTATATTTTTCTTGCATCAATATGTTTTTGACACACAGTTAATCCCTTAAAAGGAATAAGTGATTCTTTTATATAAAGTGGAAAACAACATTACCCATTTGTTTTTTCCCATAGGGAAAATCATTGCTTTCAGCTAAGTTTGGTCACCCATAATGCCTGAAGGAATCACTTATTCAACTTATTTTATCATCTCTAGAAATGATTTTCCTGGAGGTAATGCATTGGCCTAACATATGCAATTGTTTAAATCCTCAGAAAATGGCCAAAATCCAACATATGACTGTCCAAAATCTGTTGCACTAATTTCCCCCCTCCTTTACCAATGTGATTCACAGAAATTATTGAAACACATTTGATGATCTTGAAACAGCTTTCAGTTAGAGATACTAGTGTAAAACCCTATTATATGACAAATGGGACACTATTAGAGCAGAAAAACATTTTACACTTTCATTGATCATTTATCATTCATTTATTTGTAGTCAGAATGCAGGGTATGTGCACCACACTTTAAATGTTACCTTGTAACCTTGTCATTTCATCATGATGTATACTACCTTTTATTTTGGGTTTTTGTGTATCTCATATATATTTTTGTACTTTTGCTTTAGTTAGTATTTGTAGTTAAGATATATAGTTTTTCATAGTTATGACTAATGTAATCATGTTATGATACAAGATGTCAATAATAGTTATATGATATATATATTCTCTTCCATAGTTCAGGAACACACGGACATATTTTTTCATGGCCTTTGAAACTACAGGCTGATTTTGCAGCTTTGGACATGGCTCCCCATGGGTGTGCTTCAAGTGTGAATGGGTCTTGGAACAACAACCAACAGTTGCAGCATAGCTCACTGGGAGGATTGGGGTCCATACGATGAAAGTCGCATGTCGTTTTCCCATCTAAAAACAAAAAATGAATTTTTTATAAAAGGAGCATATTTGTGCATGTTAATCAATGTTTAAAGACCCTGTGCAAATTTTGATTTTCATTCATTTCGTATATTTCACCCTCTGTATTCAAATTGACTTGAAGTTCGCTTCCTGAAAGACCATCTTTCTAAATTTCTTAAAACAATTTAACAGCCAATTTTCTTGAATTTTTTTTGCAAAAAACATGTGAGGATCAATGTTTTGTTCAGTGGGACTTGCTACTCTGTGGAGTTGATGTTTTCATGTTTTAGACTGGAAGACTATTAAACATACTTTGATAAGGGACCAGTGATAATAGTATATATGATTGACTATAATATATTATACTATAATAGTATTATCTATGTAGTAGTAGAAGGATTAGTGCATTATAAGTAGTAAGTAAAATTATTACTTTTATCATAGCTATCAAAGACCGCACAAGAACCATAACGATGGTTTTGAGGCGACTCATCAATACATCTCAAGTTCCTCTCAAATTCTGTTCCATGTCCTTGTTTATGGGTTGATATTCTACAATCATCCAGATGTTTGTCTTTGGGACCACATCCCAGATGGTAATGTTCCTTCCAACGATCCATGAGTGGATCCATGAAATGGTAATCTTCGCTTTCCTCTTCATGTCTCTGTGGTGATTTTTTGAACTCAAATTCATCGCACGCGATCTTTTTTGTTACTTCTTCGATTGAATCTCCAAGCAGTCTAGTTATTCCCCAAGTTTCATGTTTGTATAACATATTATCATTTACCTCAAAATATGTATGCATTTTCCCAAATTCTCGAAAACCATAATAGTCAACAGTTTGTGTCCAAAATTCACTTGAAATTGGTTCACAGTTGTATGTGAAGATGCGCGCCAGCTGCTCAGTAGCATTACATGATACGTAAAAGTTATGAATGAATTCTCCCATGGGCTGGCATCTCCTAAGACCTTTACAATAGTTCTTAATTTTGTTAAAATAGAACTTCATTTTTTTATCATCTAAGCACCACTTGTTAGAATGCATCGTGCAAACATCTGGATAACCAAATATAACAGAATCATTTCCATGTCTTAAGGTGATTTTTTTCACCTGATAATTTAGTGGACAATCAAAGTAGACTACTCTGTTTATTTTATTCATATATGCCCTTAACATTTTTATTGAGACACACTGTTTTAATTCTTTTTGGAAAATTTTTCTCTGCTGTTTTCTCTCACATTCCAGTTGAACAGTTGTTTTGAATTTCTCAATGTTAAATTTTGTCTCAGTTGAAATGTTGATAGAACAGTGTTTATTTTCTTTGATTTTGACTTCATTTGAACAAATATACTCCGGCCAGTTTTGACTAAAGTCACTAGGTACATGTTTGATAGCGTATGAATCCTTGCCTAGGGTCCTTGTATCTGATGTGTCAGCACCAAACGTGTTGCATGCAACACGATGGTTTATGTAATAAAAAAGGTTTGTTTCTAAATTACCACTGGAATAACTAGGGTAAAATGTGATTGGTTTCCAGCCTTGATTTCTGTATGTATTTAAATATCCATCGAATTTAACATCTGAATAAAGAAGTTTCCATCTATCACACTCGAAACCAATATCGTCATTATGAGTGCAAAACTGTCCATTCTTTTTTCCATGACACTCTTCAAGCCAAAACTTAAATGGCTGTTTTGGTTTCTTCTGAGACACTTTAGTTTGCATTGTGTATATCAACCCCTCACCTGGACCAAACTTGTCTCTTACATACCTTGCTGCATTTGGTGGAAAGCCTAACTTTTTACATATCTCCTGGCTTATTTGTAGCTCTGTTGGCCCACGTTCAATTACTCTTAGGGGGGCTACTGTACCCCAAGTGCCATTCACTTTGACCTCTAGTCTGCCTTGCTCATCATTATCACCACCAACTAGCCTCACTTGTGTTTTTCTGAATGGAAAAATGTTATCTTTTTTACCTTCAAGACTATAATCCTCAATGAAGCTTAATAGAATAAGTATCACCTCTAGTCTAAACATGATGGTGTTACAATTACAAATACTATTTGTGCTTTCTGCTGTAACACTCATGAAGTACTAATGCATATGATTCACTATTCTAGTACATACCTGTATAGGATAATGATATCATGCAACTGACATTTCATGTACTTAATTGAACATTTCACATCATGGTTGACATTTATCGAATATCAGAATCGTGTTCATTAACGAAATGAAATGTAAGAAACCTTTTCTCGTTATTAAAACTTTGGTCAGTAAAACTTTGTTTGAAATGTTTTGTAAAAGTTATATTCATGTTAAGTAGAATAAACCAACTCTTATTGAAAATATGAATGAAGTTAAGTGTGTTTAAAAAATAAATTACACTTTTGTCCATGTAGAAAGCTAAAGGTGAACTGAATTCTTGTAAAAAATATTTAGATTATTTCAACTGACATTTAAATGTTTCAGTGATGCCAGTTTTTCAAGAATTTTGATATATTTCCTATAGACCCCCTTTTGAATTGTAAATATTTTCCAGTTTATAGTTTTAGTGGCCTGATTTTTGCACTAGTGTAGGACAAAAATAATTTGTCACAAAAATTGCTATGTAATAAACAAAACGTATTGATAGGACCTGAGAGTATGAATGAAAAAACAATCATCCTAAATAATATGCTATGTATTTTTAAAAGGTATGTTTATTTGTGCAATTATTCTAAGCTAAAACCAACATAAGTATTGTGAAGGAATATCTTATTATGGACAAATGAGTTGGCAGAGGTGATAAGTGGAAAATCATGGAAGCAAAATTTAAACAAATGACACAGATGATTTTTCCATTAAATAGAAAAAATTGGCAAAGGTATAAAATTCTTAAACACTAATGTGTAACCAATACTGTATTGTAAATGTGCGTTTACCAACTGTATTGTCATTGTTTTTTGGAATTGCTTTAACATGTGTTTTCTTCTCTGAAATAAAAAAATTAAAAAAAAATTACCTGGGCATCTCGTCGTATTACAGAAGTAAAATGCCATTCCATACAACTTTGTAAAAATATAATAACTACATTGTACATTAATTTTTTTCTTTAACTTATTCCAGGTCTCCTAGAGGGAGTAGAAGGAAAGGAGAATTACAATTATTTAGAGGAATGTATAAACAGACAAGTAAGTGGTGCCCTCATATGAAATATTAATAATGTCATGTAATTTTTATTCCATAATTATTGTATACAGTAAAACCTGTGTACAGTGAACACCTATCGAGCCAAAAGATGTGTTCACTGTAGGTAGGTGTTCACTAAAGTAGTGGAGTATTTGCTGAGACTAGTTCACTAGACACAGATTTTGAAATCATAGAAAGTAGTTAAAGGGACATTCCTGACCAGACCATTTCTATTCTGACATTAGCTATAATCATATACATACTGTTCATATTTAGCAAAACATGGGAAAATGTTTTACTATAGTCAATATTGATCATTTAAAAATGTAGTGCTAATTTCCAGTGAGCTGCCATCTTTTGAAATTTCACTCAGGAAGTGATGTCATCAACTCTCAATTTTCATAACCCTGCCTATTACAATATAGGAAAGTAGCACAAAATCAAATAATCCTTACTTTATATGCAAAAATATTTTCAGAGCTTGTCAGATTATGATAAAAGAAGAGATTTTTAGAAGGATTAAATCATAGACAAATGTGAAAAAGAATATTCAGCTGGTTTTTAATTCTTAATAGCTCTTTACCTAATGCTATATGCAAAGTTGAGAGTCGATGACATCACTTCCTGAATGAAATCTTAAAAGATGGCAGCCTCCTGAAATTGAGAACTACATTTTTTAGTGATCAATATTGACCATATCAAAACATTTTTCTGAGTTTTGCTAAACATGGATAGTACATATATGGTTATGGCTACCATATTAGGAGAAAATGGTCTGGTAAGGAATATCCCTTTAACTGAGATAGTTTTAATTGTATTTTCAAGTCATGTCCAGAATAATAATGTAAGATATAAAAGAGTTGACTGATGGTTTCACAGGAAAGTAAAGCAACTTCAAAAGTGTTCTTTTGTTTTATTTGATTTCCATATATGTAATTAAAGCAGTTTTGAGAATTATTAACTTCAAATACAAAGAGGGGAAATATCCCATAATTCATAGATGGACCTATCTCCATATTAAGAGGTTCTAGAGGTTCATCTAAACATTTAGAGATTTCTGGGGTACTTATACCTCTCCTTGCTTTAAATTTATTGCTGCTTAAATCTATTACTGGTTCTAACATCTTTTTTCCCCATGAAATAATATAATTATGCCAGAATGACACTTTAAATAACCATGCATGCCAGGTGGTCCACAGATGTCATACAGTAAGGCTATGTTATGGCCTTAAAATAGTACAATACAATACAGTGGTCTCCCCAGCATTAAAGCAAGTGGGCGCAGCACCCACCTGAGATTTTGAAAACAGGCCTGCACCCATCTGAAAATCCATTTGCACCCACTTGAAAATGAAGAAATCATGAAAAATGGGCATATTTTGACCAATTTTTGTCTGAATTGTGAATATGAGAATTTTGCACCCACCCGAATAAAAATCCTGGGGAGATCACTGCAATACAATACAATACAATACAATGCAATACAATACAATACAATACAATACAGATGTCATGCATGATGGATTACCAAAAATACCTGCAATATTTGTAAATAAGTTTATAAATGCATAACTACTTTCAGTATAATGTCACAATGGTGCTACGACTGCTATGTTTGATGTCACTAACACAGGATGGTCTTTCCTCCCAGAATTATAAGACATTGAAGACGCAACTATTGCAGGTTAGGAATGTTTTTATAATGTAATAAATATCAGTGGACTTCAACCTGATATCAGGGGATTCCTTTGTCATAGCAAGAGATTCCTATCTGATATTGGACTGGTTGGGGCTCATACATGTATCATTCCAGTGGATCCATGTAGTATAATGTGGTTCTTCTATAATGTCAGGGGGACTACATATAATGTAACATAAGGGGTGTAGTGTGTGATAACAGGGGAATCCTATATATGTTACTATTAAAGAATTCCTTTGTTTTATCAGGGGACTCCTGTGTAATATCAGGGGATTCCTATGTAAATAAGCTGAATCCTATTTGATATCGGGAGATCCATAATAAACATTCCTAGCAAGTTGTCCAAATGTTGTTTTCAAATTCCTGATAGTGAGAGGATCATGTTCAATATCATACTCCCTGTACCATAGATGAACACAATAGTTCCTCTTCCACCCTGTGATGTCAGCTCTATAGATCAGGTACAGTTGACTGATACTCGGCCAATGCATCAAATATCCAACGACGTGAATCAACTCTGGGTGAAGTTTAGATAGCCTCATAGGGACCATAGTTGAATGATAGGCCCAGTTTGTGTTATCAAAACTTTGGTAGCTTTCGTACCATTGTTTAATAAATTCACTGTTAGGTGTTGAAACTATAACTCCACTTCCTAGCTGCTTGTCGTTCTCTTTGCTCATACTTGTGTTGTACTTTCTCAGAGGGTCAAATGTCTTGACGACTATGACATCTGTATCGAGGTATATGCCACCATATTCTGAAAATATAGAGAATACAAAATGGAGGATTCTGTATGTATATATTTGATCCCCCTCCACCTTTTTGTTGAAATGTTCTCATTGTAATGTGATCTCAATGGAATTGAAATAAGAAAATATGTCACACTGACTGTTTTATTCAAAAGTGCCTACAAAGAAAAGCAGCACCTGACAAGGTCAATGTGTCGCTGTTGTCTCAAAATCAGAATTAATTTCCAATAAACCCCCCCCCCCTTGTCACTCCCCAAACTGCCAACAATGTTTTTTGGCAGTCCATGTATGTATATACGTAAAACAGGAATAAAGAAGAAAAAAAATGAACATTATTTTCAAGTTTTCTTTCGAACATCATTATCTCTTCAAAACCAGTGTACAAAATGTAACTAATATTGTAAATTGATTATTCATCCTTCCTCAAAAATGTGTCTTTAATGATTAAAAATGCAGATCTCCTAAAATCTCAATAAAAACGAGACATAAATGAGATTCCAAAGCTATATGGAAAAGACTATATTAACCATACATCTATATAGACAATTGACTGTGGCCCTAATTCATATGTACCTAATATTGCTTCAATTCTGGCTACGTCAGATTTGTGTTCTATCCTGTCCAACTTTACATTAAATATCAACTCTGGTTGTGTTCTCTTAACGTGGACCATATTTGGCACCTTGCTTTTGAGGTATGCCCACCAATCTCCATGGGGAAGCACGTCCCCATGGATAAGTATCACACATGGCGTCAATTTCTGGTATGCACTGAGTATTGATAACATCTGATGGAACCTCAGTTGAGCTTCTCCGAACCATACAAAATGGACAATATTTGGAACCGTATGAATATCTTTTGGACATGCTTGTAGTCTTTTATGGATCTCTTCAGAGCCGAAGTTTCCAAATGGAATATCACTTTCTTTTGTTTGTGGATTATTGTTAGTTTGTGTATATGGATTTGGATATGAATGAGTGTTTATCTTTTTGAACACATATCCATTTGAGTACTCAGGTTGATTCCTAAAGAATGAACGAAGAACTAACCAGATAAAAATACATGACATGGAATAAAACAGCAAAGTCATTTTAATCCTCATTTTGAAATCTTTGTCACATTCAAAATGTGAAAATCCTTAAAGTTTACAGCTGCAGGAAATAGTACCAATTTTATTTAGAAATGATATATTTTATTAGTAATGTTATTAAACTTTGTTAACATGTATGTAATCCTGAGCCTATTAGTTGTGGAAACATCTTGTGGTAAAATGTATGTTTAAATCTTCATCTTCTTCTGCTGGTTGTTCATTTAATTTTCACAGGGTTGATTCTGCAAATGTAATCCCTCCTCCATTAAACCTTTTGTATCATTAACCAGATGAAAATCCTTGATGAACCATTTTTATAAAAAGTAAGTTAGTAAGTAAAATAGTCAATTAAAGTCTCACACATACATATACACGTGAAAAATATTTTTTAAAAAGCTGTATGTCCAGCCATTCCTGGCTTAAGAGAGACTTGATATTATGCTTCTTGATATATATACGTTTGATTCTTGTTGTCTGCTTTACTTTTATAGACTCAGTGTTTGGACCTAGTGTTTTCATATTGATACAACAGTACTAAGCAAATTTCATTTCCTGTTTTTGAATATTCACAAGTTGCCCTTCTGTACTTTTTACATGACCTTATAAGTCTTTGTTTGATTTGCAAGGGGTTCTTTATTTAACTTGTGCTGAAAAGTTTGAAAGTTTCATGATCTTTAAGATCTTTATTTATGTAGACATGATTTACATAGTGTGTCTTGTCAAATTTCATACCATAAGGGGCCTTGTCAATAGTGGTTAGAACATTTTGAAGTAAAGGGGCCATTTTTGCCAATTGACTTAAACAATTCAATAATACAGTCATTATTGATTTGTAGTTGACATTTAATTTTTTTAAATATGGTTGAGGGTATATAGCATAATAAGATGTTGTATGACAGAACTGTATGAGTATGAGTGATACTTTGACCCGGCCCCTCCTTTACTAATAAGTAATCATTTTCAGAAGGAATGTTTGAGTGATATGTATTCAATGTGATTTGAATCAATATATAAAGTAGGTGAAATAGGTCTGTAGGTTTACAGCTAATCTTTGTTATCCTTTGATCTCTGTTGAAACACGTAGATTAGTTCTTAATGGGAACCAAAAGTACTTTATCCCTATATATTGTAAATATATTCTTTAACTGGAAAGTCATGAATCAAGAGATTGAAACTATAAATTAAATACATTTTGCTACTTAACATTTTATGGCTGCTTTTCTTTGATTGAAATTGAGTAAATTAATATTTCATAATAAGTGATATTAGTGGGGGGGGGGGGGGTGTTAAACAAAATTCAGGCTTTGTATTTCCACCCACTTTCCTTTTTAATAAAACACAAATTGTTATTAGAGAAAAATAATTGAATTTCAGTGAAGTCATTCAATCATTTTTAACTTTTTAGCAAATGAAAAATTCTAGTATTTAAGAATTTAACTGACATGAAACCAAGCCTTTGAGGGATCTGGTTAGTTATGTACTTGAATAATTTCTTACCAATATTCTTTTCTTATATTTTAGAGTCATGGGTTTGAGTTCATGCTGACGTTTTTCAACCTGAAGAAACTAGGCCTGCTGACAGAGAAGCAAGAAAGTCGGATAAATGTCCCGCAAACACCTGGTTCCAAGCATCTTCAAAAGATGGCATCAATAGCAACCATTCCCAAGAAAAGTTCATTCCAAGCAATAAGCAAAAAACTCAATCTAGTAAGTACTTTTATGTTTCAGTTGAACCCCAAATTCATTACTGTAATTATGGGTAGATGGGAAACCCATATTCAGGCCTCATTGAGTTCCACTCACGCAATCATCAGTTCCGACCTCACTCACCACATTCTTTGCTCCCTAACAATGTGAATGAAAATCTAAGAGGCCTGATATTAATATTTATCCTTTGATCATGATGACAGGTAGAATGTTACAGTCAGATATGAATCGATTTCAACAGACTTATTTATGATTTTTAGCATCTTCACATTGTTTTTTTGTATGTCCAGAGACTTGATGCAAGATGCATTTTTCGCAGAATAATGTTTCTCAGAATCTTTGAATAATTTTTCTCAAAATATTATTTTCACAAAGTAATAAGTTCATGTAAATATTCCTAGGTAATAAAAGAGCATAGGATGAATCAAGTGTATTAGTAATATGTGTAATAAAACCTGTCTAAGTGGAACGCCTTTGGTACCTAAGAAGTGTTCCACTTGGGAGGTGTTCCACTTATAAAGGTTCTTTTAACACCAATTCTGTTGGTCTAAGGACTCGGAAAAGTGTTCCACTAATAGAGATGTTCCATTTCTAGAGGTGTTCCACTTTGATTACACTGTATTTCAATGTTTGTTATTGCACATAGACTATGTTTATGTTGTACGTGTATCATTATTCTGTAATTGCCATAGGTACCTAAAGCAGCTGAAGAAGTGGACCTGAAGAACCCTAACGACATGTCTTATGTATATAGTGGGGCATACACACCAATTATACCACGCCTTGTAGAACAGGTACCCAGAATTACTCAACATAATTATTTGTATCACTATGAAAATATCAACAAATTTACATTTTTGGTTATTACCTTTTGTCATGGCAACTCAGTTTGTTCCACACAATTCAATTTACTTTCCATAAGTGATTCATGTTAGATGTAAAAGTCATTATCTTGATAGTATCTAAGTATTGCTATCTATAATAATGATTATAAAGATGTGTGTGATTTTTAGCCATTACCTTTATATTTTATTCTAGGTTCTCCAGAAAGATGGCTGGTCTCACATAGAAGATGTAATCAAACTTCTACCAGGCTCAGAATATAACTTCTCAAGCTCCCGGGCAAAATCAGCTAAAGGTACATTCCTTTTATAGATTACATAAACTTTACTGGTGTATTATAGAGAGGGGGGAATTGATTATATTTCTGTTTCCCTTTCCCAGATAAAATATTTAATTTTTTATTTTATTAAAATAATTGAAAACTGAAGATGACAAATTAAAATCAGGTAGACTTGTGATAAAAGCACATATATGTTTAATAAGTCACTGCACAATGAATTTTATAATTTCAGAAATAAAACATATCTCTTGTCATGGTAAAATATGCACTCTCTAGACCCCTGTTCCAAAACCATATCTGTTTCTATGATTCCATTCAACTTTGTTTTCTTGTCACCTTAGGTAAAGGAGGTGGTTCAATCCATTCTCTAGACCCCTGTTCCAAAACATATCTGTTTCTATGATTTCATTCAACTTTGTTGTCTTGTCACTTTAGGTAAAGGAGGTGGTTCAATCCATTCTCTAGACCCCTCTTCCAAAGTGGTCTGTGTTTACTTCATTGGTGGATGTACTTACTCAGAGATTGCAGCACTAAGATACCTTGGAAAAATGAAAGGTATTGTTTTTATATTTTTCTCCATTTTAGGGCTCATTATAAATAGCTGTTAATAGACTAGATGCAAATAGAAATAATCTTGATTTAATAAATATTTGAAATCCAGTCAACGTGATATCATGTTTCAAATCTGCATGTTAAATTACATTAGAAAGGTTTCAAAAAATTTTCATTAATTTTGAAATTTTTTTTTTTAAATGTGACATCTTGTATAAAGATCACAAAAGTGAAATGTCTTGTATTGGACAGAATATTTACTGGACATATTTCCATTTGTGTAACTATTAGAAAAAAAGAATAAGAAAGCCTAGTGGACTCCCAAATTCACAAGAAATACCACTAAATCCCAAACATAGAATTTGGAATTCTTTAAAAAATCTATAATTAACCTTAAATCCCATATGCAAGTGTGATGTGCCAATTCTGTTGAAAATTCTCCCTTTCCCCATGAATTTGTAGCTCATTCATTTGAGAAACTTTTGATCAAGAATGCAAATTTCAGGAATCACCTAATCTGTGATTCCATGGCTGGCTTCAAGGTCAAAGACAGCTGAGATGGTGGGAAATCCACCATTGGCACATGATTGACAGAGAATACAGTCGTTTCTGAAAGATATATATAGGTTGGTACAGAGGATTCATTTATTATATGTATCTTGATGATTCCAGGATACAAGTTCCTAATAGCAACAACTGGTATACTGAGTGGAAATAGACTAATAGAACTACTAACAGAAACGCCATCTATCTAAACACAACTCACATATTTACAATATCTGGTATCATACCACAGGTGCTATCCCCCCCATCACTGATGCCATTGTCATATCACCAGAATTTGACAATACTAATGTAAAACAAGTGCATTACACCACAAACTTAAATCATTTGGATACTTGGATATTAAGTTAAATAAAAACTAGCTGTTGTAAAAAATAACAATATTATAACAATGTTGTTCCGCAATGTTGAAAAACAGTATTATTATGCAATGATAATTGATATTCAAAATTCATGTATTTAAAGTATGTACAGTAAAACCTGTGTATATTGAACATTTTTTGCAGAAAAAAATGTTCAGTGTTGGTAGGTGTTCACTGCAGAGAGGGTAATTTCTACAGAAGTCAGTAGAGTATATGTGTGGAGGAAGGGTGTCCACTAGAGACAGGTGTTCACCAGAGACAGGTTTTACTGTCTAACATGTGTAAGGGATAAAGTGAAAGCAAAGACTAGAGAATGTCAAAAGTTGAAGCCAATCGAAATGCATGTCAGCATTTCACAATGCATGTCAGCATTTCACAATGCATGTCAGCATTTCACTTGCAATCCCAATTTTATTTTTTAAAATTCAGATTCAAAAATAGAAGTCGAAATATTATGAAACAGAAAAATCAAAATAATCCTGAAAAGCAAAAATATTGTAAAATTGTGGCAGTTTTTCTGTACTACTTTAATATTCTCAACTCATTCTTAATCTTTGTTACTCCTTTAAAAACTGAGGCCAAACAGGGCAATGTGCAATATTACTGGATCAAAGACATGTGTAGATAAGTATATCTCCTTGTGAGCGGTCTTTCATCTTAAGAAGTGAAGTGTCGTAGAATTCAGAAAAATATCAATACTTGTATATATATAATTGTACTAATAAGCTCTCTGGTATATTTGTACAGAATATAATGTCTGTATGTTGTCATGTTTTCATACTCTAAGAAAAGATCCAGAAACATGTTGAATACACTTGAGGGATCTTGTAACTACAAATCATGTGTTATTGTCATATAGGATTTAATAAGTCTAATTCAGACTATGCATAGGTTACAGACAGTATTTTAAATGTGGTTCAGCATAAGGCTTGATCAATACGACTGGATTCTGCCTCTCTTATTTCAAGGTTATTCATTAATTAAATGCGGTCAAATAATAAATCCAATTCAATGATCAATACTGTTGGATTCTCTTTTCTAATATGTCAAGGTTATTAATTCAACAAATGAGGTCAAATGATTAATCCAATTCTTAGATTTACGCAATTTCACCTAAGGTGTTTTTCTTAGGAATTAGAAAAATGTTTGGCACAGTTATCAAACTTATTTAATGGATAAAGTCTGAGGTTCTATGCAAAATGTCCATAGGTCAATGACCAGATTAATTTTAGAGCTTATAAACCCAGAACTGGAAAATACAAGAACTGATCAGCATTTATTATGACCAGTAGATTTCAAATTCTTATTGCACACCACGCTGTCCATATTATTAGTATTATTTAAATGTACGTTTTTAATAATAATTATTTTAATAAAAAATAATTATATTTTGTTATAACTGAAGAATTACTTTTTGAATGTTATTTCTTAAATGGTTGAGGAGACTTACAATTATGAAGTTCCTTAATTGTAATGAGTTGACTCCCTGATTATTGTATGAGTTATTGTAATGAGTTGACTCCCTGAGTATTGTATGAGTTATTGTAATGAGTTGACACCCTGAGTATTGTATGAGTAATTGTAATGAGTTGACTCCCTGAGTATTGTTTGAGTATGAGTTATTGTAATTAGTTGGTGTCAACTTGACACCCTGAGTATTGCATGAGTTATTGTTATGAGTTGACTCCCTGAGTATTCCATGAGTTATTGTAATGAGTCGACTCCCTGAGTATTGTATGAGTTATTGTAATGAGTACACACCCTGAGTATTGTATGAGCTATTCTCTTGTCTATTGTATAAATTGCTACTAAGTATTGTATGAATTGCTACTAAGTATTGTATAAATTGCTACTAAGTATTGTATGAATTGGCTATTGAGAATTGTGGAGAATGGGGTATTAAATGGATTGGCTGCTGGGTATAATATATGCATAAGTTCATGAGTATTAAATGCATTGACTATTGAGAATTGAATGAGTTGACTGCTGAGTATAGCGTATGTTTTCTACTCAGTCGTGAATAATGAAATTATCATTGAATGGGTTGACTGTTGAGTTTTGTGCAAGTTGACTACTGAGTATACAAAGAGTTGAATTGACTACTGAGTCGTGAATTAGTTAATTACTGAACTGATCCTTGTATAAAAAGTCGACAACTGAGTATTAATCTCTCGTATTGTTTGGGTCATTTATGAGTTTTGATAATTTGATACTATTGATATCTTCAGTATTGTATGAGTTAATCATCGGAATATTTTCAGAGTGACCATGTCTCCAGAATCACTATCGAGTTCCATTCCAAATGTGTCAATTTTACTCTTGATATCTCTCGAAATAAACACCCACTGCTTGAACAATTTTGTCCCTCTAATAAACGCTCACCCCTTGGGAAAATATTTCCCTCTTTATAAATGCCCACGGGTGTTCAGGCCCACGGGTGTTCATTCGGAGAGCTTTCAAATAAACACCCAGGCGAAATGAACACCCAGTGAGTGTTAGTGAGAAATTCAAGGAAAGACAAATAATTGTCAGCCCTTATCATAAGAACTCACTTAAACTATCCATGCTCTAGAAATTGAACAATTTTCTGAAATAAATCAGAAAAACCTAAGAAATACGGAATTATGTAGAGTAGAGTGTGAATGTGTCATCTGGAAACTGTTTAATGTGTCAATAGTTGCCTGTTAACATTTTAAAAACTCGACGTGTTGTGGCAATTTATAGTGTTACACAAGTGGAGGCTATAAATCACATAGTGGAGAATATGTAACATTCCCCTGCGTAATAGTTTGACTTCAAACATCTACAAGGGAGCTTGAACGACATTCTTTGGAAAGGAATGAAGCCTTTTCAATCAGAATGTGTCACACAAATTGTAATTTACCAGAATTGGTCAGGAAAACCGCTCCTCAGATTTTCTCCAAATTCGCACGCTTGATAGAGGATAAAAAGTTCTAGAGCTGATTAACTTTTGCCATCTTGTTTTCTGACGGCCATTTTGAAGGTTTTTCGGAAAATCTTGTCATCGTCATTTCAGGAAAACCGCTCATCTCTCCAAATTAGCACACATGATAGAGGATATCAAGTTCTAGAGCTGATTATCTTCTGGGCTGCCATTTTTCTGGTGGGCATTTTGAAGGTTTTTTGATGGTGTGATCTCGTTCACGTCACGTGCCTTCTTTCTACTCGCATCTAATCTATTGCAAGTACAGAAATCTAGTTTTGTCAATACTTTTCAGATAAACAAGTTCATTTGTCACGATTTAGAAAGTCAGTTAATAAAGTGGGTAAATCCAACATGTTGTTAACGGTGTGGAAGCAATTCAAAATCCCAAAAATCTAAAGACAGAAATCCCAAATTCAGAAAATTATATTTTTACGTTTTGGACGATTTTGCGCAAGCAAGTATTGCAAAGTCCTTGTTGCTATTCATATACGTCATTGATTCCTAAATTGAACACTTTATCTATACAAAATCAAAAAGATTTCATCATAATCGAGGCAGTTCGAAATTAGACTGAGGAATGCATTTTTGTCAATGTGTCAGCCTGTATAATAAGACAAGTTTTTCTGGAGACGGTGACTTTCCCGGTCACCTTGCCGTCACCTTGTTAAGATACTTTTTCTTAGTATTACACGATTATATATGTGATTAATGTAAAAGCTGTTTCCCTAGTAAAACAAGATGGCGATGATTTGTTTTCTTCATTGAATCTAAAGCAATCGTATATATTGATTGTAGTCATAAATTGATGTGAAAGTAATTCTTATTTCATGCTTCACTGGACGTAATACTATAAAGAAATCCCCTGCGTTATTTTCTTTACTGAATGTAAAAAAGAACGATGTTCAATCAAAAGGTCAGCACAACATTGTCTATGTGTTTTGTCCTATTTTTTTATTAAAAACATTTTAACAATAAGCCTTTAATTGAGATGAATGAACGTTTTAAAATATGATGTATTTCAGTTGTGGATTGATCCAGGTATCTCCTAGTAAGGTCACCATGGCAACCATAAATTACGTGTTGCAAATAGTGCCTAGAACTAAATCTATGAACTGTAGAAAAATGTGTTATTCCTCTGCGTATACAACCACCTTAATTCCAACATATAATTGGTTTAATTTGAAAAGTGTTCCACATAATGTAGAATTGTTTCACTTTACTTACAGAGAAGTATTACACTTTGTAGTGTTTACTATATCTTGAATTTAAGTAGATGCTATGAAAAAGAAGAAAACCCATGGTAAGCATTTATAAAATCGATGTTCATATTGTGAATAGATATATTAATGGTTACTTCTATTCATAGCACAGGTGCACCGCGTTCTCAATAATTAATTAGCAGACACCCTGTATATGGTAGATAGATGGTAAATTGCATAATATCGTGCATGTCCTGCGAACACTTACTGGTACTTAGAGTTAAGGCACAACAAGTACTCAATTAAATAAAAATGGAAATGTAATTACTAAATTGACTTCATGTCTTACAGATCGTGATAATCCCTTTATAATCTAAATAAATAAATACAAAAATGACATTTATCTTTATTGCCTTTATCGTGATTCTAATGAAGCAGCATATTTTTCTCTATAGAATATTAATTTATTGTTCCCTGTTACACTTCCACGTTATCGCCTGACAGTTTCAATTAAGCTTGATGTTGCCTCATACGTAGGCCACTAGAGTATCAGATATATAGTGCCCCGGGCATTAATTGAGTCCCCTGTCTCTCATTCAATCTGACATTTCAGGAGAATGCTAAGAAACAGGCTAGGTATCAAAGTGATCTAATATTAGCAAACTATGGAAAACGTTGCTCAAACTCCATCAAAATCCCCCAA